TTTTCCTCAGAGAAAATTAGGGAGTTGGGGCAGAAGTCAGAAGACAGTGTGTAATCCCCTGGAGCTGAAGTTGAAGGCAATTGTAAGCCACTGGATAGGGGTAACCAAACCTGGGTCCTCTGAAAGAGCAGGAAGTGCACTAAACCATCTGCTTTACTACCACCATGCATGGTAGCTTATTTTTTAAAAGCTCTTTATTATAAGACAAAATAGTCTGTTCCTCATAGTTATCCCAGGCTATGGTCTTAGGATGACTGTGTAGAAAGTAAACCCACCCATAAACATAGTGCAGGAGGATATAGAGTTCCAGGCCCTGTGCCTCATCTGGGCTGTCTGTGTTGTGACTGAGATATGGGATAAAATAATTTTAAAAGTAGGAGATAGCTGGGGCGGTGGTGGCGCACGCCTTTAATCCCAGCACTCGGGAGGCAGAGCCAGGCAGATCTCTGTGAGTTCGAGGCCAGCCTGGGCTACCAAGTGAGTTCCAGGAAAGGCGCAAAACTACACAGAGGAACCCTGTCTCGAAAAACCAAAAAAAAAAAAAAAAAAAAAAAGTAGGAGATAGTCAGGTATGTTGGCACACATCTGTAATTTGAACACTTATGAGGCTAAGACACATTGTGAGTTCCAGACCAGCCTGGACTACATAGCGAGATTCTGTCTCCAAAAAAAAGAAAAGTAAATTTTAAAAATAAGGATTATAAAAATTTTCAACCTAGAGATAACACTGAGATTACTACCCTTAGCCCTTTTATTTATTTTTTTTCTTTTGTTGTTTTGAGACAGGGTTTCTCTGCGTAACAGCTCTGGCTGTCCTGGAACTTTCATTGTACACCAGGCTGGCCTCAGACTCTGCCTGCCTCTGCCTTCCAAGTGCTGGGACCACCGCCTGGCTACCCTTAGTCATTTTGTGTTGACTTTTCTATCATGCTTATATACTCTTTAGGAACATTTTAGGAAAGTACCGTGTACCCCTTTATGCACAGCCCTGTACATCTTAACTGTCTTTCCTGTGCAGCTTCCTTTTGAGGATCCTGCAGTCTGTACTGTCCTGACTCTTCTGTACTAACCAGCTCTCTACTGTTGGATGTTTGAATTGTTTCCAGTAGTCACTAAGCGTTGGTTACATTTATTAGCAAATGCCTGCCAGTACTGTGACTTGATGCTTCCAGTGGCCTAGAACAGACAGATTGACAGCCATCATTACCATGTGGGTGCTCTGGGAACTCATGCATGTCAATGCCTTCCTACTGGCTCACTGCCAGTCTAGACTATGGCCTCTGAGGAGTCGTCTGCCCAGTAGAAAGCAAATAAAGCCTGTGACCTTCATTCAGAGTCTTAGAAGAAATGCATGCCCTTCTGATAAGCTACCACTGCCTACTAATTCCAGAAAAGCCTGATTGGCAATTGTTAAAATGTCATAGTTAGCATGTATGTCCCATTTTTGAACTCACTGAGAGAATGAGTCTCATGTTAACATAGAACTATTTCCTGTGCAAAGATCAATACAGACTCACTTCCTCCTTCCTGGTCTTTTGTTTATTGTTTTGAAACTGGGGATTGAACCCAAGGCCTTGTACATACAAAATAGGTGTTCCTCCACTGCGCTAATACCCCTAACATTTTTTGAAATTATATATTTTTTTTAAAGTTTTAAAAAGCTCACACTTTGGGTTTAAAAAATGGTATCTAGACATTCGGAGAGAATTAATAATCTTCAGATTGTTTGTGCAGTATGTATTTCTAAGAAAGAGTTCATCTATTGTTCTTTACTGCCCTGTTCCTGGTGTAAGCAACTCTGCTGAGGGAGATTCTGTTGTCTGCACTTGTAAACTTTAAGACTTGAGTTTGACAGGCTCCTTTTGTGTGTACTGGCAGAGTGTTTTGACACCTGATGCTGTTGCCTTTCTGTGTGCTCTTTGTTCTCCTGGTCATGGGTGTTCAAAAACTTAACAGTGCTTACTTGAGCAGTTTAGGATTACATGGGAGTCCTTCCTTTGAAAAGAATATTTGGGAAACTAAGTGGTATAGCTTTCTAATGTAGAGCAGCATAAAGAAGCCTTAGACTGTATAGCAGGTTCATGTGTATTGAGAGTCCTGTATCATAGACCAGCATGGGCTGTGTAACCCTAGACAGTTGGATAGAGTTTGCATAGGCAGGAGCAGTCTAGATGAAGAGACCTCATACCTGAGCAAGGTGCTTACAGGGTATATGGGAATGTGTACCTGAGAAACGGTACCTATTGAATGAAGATCAGTGAATCAGAAAACCTCACAGGCCACGTTCTGAAGGACTTCTGAAAGCAAGGGGAAGACCTTAAGATTATTGAGTTAAGGCGAAGGTGTGACTGAAGCTGTAGTTTAGAAATCTATAGAGTGAGGGAGTGTGCTTTTAAGGAACAAGAACTTTGGAGTATTGTGTTTGAGGAAGGAGAGGATACTGCCAAATTAGCAGGGTGGTTTCATTTCAGGAGGTCCTCTTCTAGGAGCTGTTCGCTGGTGCCAGTTGTGCTGGATACTGGGAGCTTCTCCCCAAAGAAGCTCAGTGTGGGAAGGAACTTGGGAGCACATGCAAATGACTTCAGTACTGAAGACACACATTAACCAGCAGGTACAGACAGAATTCTTGCCAGAAATATTTTCTTATTAGAAACAGAATATCAGCTAAATTTAATAAAATAAATTTTGGTAGGTTCATTACAAACTTAAAAAAATAGCTGGGCAGTGATGGCGTACACTTTTAATCTCAGCAGAGTCAGGCAGATCTCTTGAGTTAGAGGCTAGCATGGTCTAAAGAGTGAGTTCCAGGACAGCCAGAGCTACTCAGAGAAACCTTGTCTCAAAAAACAAACAAACAAAAAAAGACAGTCTGGGGGTGTTGTGCAGTGCTGGAGTGAAATTTCAAAATAATTTCAAACCCAGCCAGCTTTAAAAAGATAGATACCAAAAGACAAATGAAACTAACATTTTTAAATATTCAAAATATCATGGTTTCAAAAGGTGGTACTAGTCACATTTTCTAGTGGCCAGTGACTATTGGAGCTTCTGGGGAAGGTCGATGTAGGGGCCATGTGAAGGAGAGCTGCGGCCCAGTGAGTCGAGGTGGGAAAGCAGACGTGCATGAAGACAGCTGTTTTGTCAGAAGGACGTGTTGTGAGAAGAGGGGTTTGCTGTCAGTTGCTACTCTTTTCATTGTCTCTACTTGGGACTGTGAGAACTTCAATCAGGAAGTGTCTTTATTGGGGATTTCAGAGGATGGCCTGCTATCACAGATAGGGCCTGGAGTACAGGTGGGTGTTAGTGTAGATGGAGAAAGAGGAACTGTTTCAGTTTTCCTTCTGTGCCTTCCTCCAAACTACTAGATGTTGTGTAACCCATTTCCTGTTGAAATTGGCCTAGCTGCTCCAAAATCCATGTTATATAAGTCTAGAGTTACATAAGCAGCAGGCATCAGGACCTTTAGTTAATGTGTTTTCTTGTTTCTTTGTATTGAAAGTTTTAGAAACTAATGGATAAATGAGTATCAATTTTCTTTTTAAAGACATAACACTTGGTCTAAGGTAACATGATGGTTTTTAATCTCAAAAAACTCTGTGACAATGTCAGAGAATCTTGAAATAATCCCAAACCAGAAAGGCTCCATTTTATTTCAGATTTATTTATTTTTATGTATATAGGTATAGATGTATGGATGTATGCCTGCATGTATGTCTATCCAGCACGTGTGTGTGCCTGTTGCCCACAGAGGCCAAAAGAGGGCATTGTATCCCTTGGAATTAGAGTTATAGATAGTTGTGAGCCACCATGTGATTGTTGAGAATTAAACCCAAGTAAGTTATCTGGAAGAGCAACCAGTGCTCTTAACTGATGTCTCCACTCCCAAAAGTTTCCTTTTTGTACTGCATGTCCAGTGTGGCAGAGTCATGCAGGAACTTGGACTGTAGAACGTCACCATCTGAGGACTGTACATACTGGAATACATGGACTTTTAGGTAACTGCTGTAAAAGAAGAGGGCAGGGAGAACTGTCGTCTCTGCTGACATTTCATCTGGCTGAAGTGCTTGCTGTTTGACTCAGCTGCTGTAGGGTGCTGGGAACTGGACAGTGAGAAGGGGCTTCTGTATTGCTGGGTGTTGAGCTAAGGTTGCTTTAAAAAAATGTGTATGGGTGTTGTGTCTGTATGTCTGTCTGTGTACCACATTGATGCCTAGTGTCCTTAGAGGCCAAAAGTGGGGTGGGGGTGGTCAGATCCCTTGGAACTGGAGTTCCAGGCAGTTTTGAACTGCCATGTAGATGTTGCGAATTAAATGCAGGTCCCTTGGAATGGCAGGCAGTGCTCTTAACCTCTGAGCCATATCTCCAACTCCAAACTAAGGTTACTTTTTAAAAATTAAAAAGGTAAAGAACATGTATGTAGCATAAACTTAAAAACAAAAAACAAGCCCTGGGGCAGGAGCTGTCAAGATGGCCTAGCAGGAAAGGGAGATTGCTGCCAAACTTGATGACTCAAGTTCAATCCCTGAAACCCACATGGTGCAGGGAGAGAACCAGCTCCGACATTGTCCTCCCTTCCCCCATGCCCATGTATATGCACTCTCCCATGTGCATGCACACATAAACAGGTGTTTAAAAGCAAGTCGTTTTAAAGCAGTTTCTGTGTATTGGGGAGAATACTAGGATAATGGAACAAACAAGCTCTAGAAGAGACAGACAAGCCAGAAAGCCTTGACTCCCCACTGTGTTCTACTTGCTGTGGTGTTGTGGGCACATTGTTTTCTTTCTCTTAATCTTTGTGTTTCTAAGAAGGTAGAAGGGTTATTGGGAATATTCCTACCATGTAGGATTGTTGGTAACAATTGACCAAAATAATTTCAAGGCCTCAGCCGAGTCCTGACTTTGTAGGTATTCAGTACACGGTCCACATTCTTGATGGCATTGGGTGCTGTACTTCTGAGAGTGTCATTGCTGACATTGCTTCCTCTGTGCTCTGGCTGTTCTAGGAATGACCATGGACAAAAGTGAGCTGGTACAGAAAGCCAAACTTGCTGAGCAAGCTGAGCGCTATGATGATATGGCTGCAGCTATGAAGGCTGTAACAGAACAGGGACATGAACTCTCCAATGAAGAGAGAAATCTACTCTCTGTTGCCTACAAGAATGTGGTAGGTGCCCGCCGGTCTTCCTGGCGTGTCATCTCCAGCATCGAACAGAAAACAGAGAGGAATGAGAAGAAACAGCAGATGGGCAAAGAGTACCGTGAGAAGATAGAGGCTGAGCTGCAGGACATCTGCAATGACGTGCTGGTGAGGGCAGCGCTTCTGCTTTTCACATCCATCTCTAGGCTTAACGAGTGGTCCAGATACACTCTCCAACAGCTTAGGAGAGAGTGGAGGTGTTCCACTACACTCAAAGAGCTGAAAACTGTTTATAACTTGATCTAAAGAATGTGATGTGATTTTCATCACCCTTTCTTGATCAGTGCATCTCTTTTGGGATGTCTTCCTTCTCTAAAAAAGACCTGCAACAAACAGGAACATTTCATCAACATTCCTCCATTTGTCTTTAGAAATTAAGGCCAAATGGAGGGGATAATTAGAAAGATGCAGTCACTAGTGGGCTGTTCTAGTGTTCTCAGTAGTGATGTCTGGACAGGAAGAGGTGTAAAGGCCTTTCAGCCTCTCCTTGGTCATGCCTTCACAAAGTGTAGAAATCGGATGTTGAAGGTCAGGTGCATCTGTCAGTTACAGTGTACAGTCCAAAGCCAAATCAACGGTGGTCTGGGGCTTCTCCTGTGTGTTATGGACGCTACGGTCAGGTGGGGGATCCTTGTAACTACATTTGGGGTTAGATGGGAGGGTTGGTGGCCTATCCTAGAACACCTTATGATTATATTCTTTCCCTCATATCTGGAGCCCACTGGGAACTTTCATTTTCTGTGTGAAATTGGGTAAAAATGAACTCTGAGGGCTACTGTAAAGGGAAAGGGGGTTAACACTTGTTGATCTCCTTCCTACCCTACTGTCTGTCTCTCCAGATGACTTCCCTTGACATCTCTTGAAAACCAGTGTAAAGCTTGTCTGCTATCAGGCAGCACGCCTCACCCCAACCCACAGGAGTCCCACCCCTCTCTGCACAATACTTGAAAACAACTACTGCCTCCTGCACACCCTGGCATTGATTAATGAAATCCTTGATAACTGAGCTTTGCTTTGAGCCTCTCTTTTTATTAGATTCTCTTTTATTAGATAAGAGTTTCATGGCTAAACTTGTTGCCTGTCGGTTGTTTGGGGGTTTGTTAATGGTGCACTAATTCCTGAATGTTAGGTACATCTGGTATTCAGATGAAGTATGGCATGCATTCCAAAGGCAAGAAAGTTCCATAATTCCTGACATGTAGACCAGCTTTTAAGAGCATCTGAAAGAATGTGAAGAAGAGCATGGTACTTACTGCCTCTTAACCAGTTTTTCAGGATGCCACATTCTAAAACAACTCTTCGAAAATATTGCTCTGTATACGAAGCTTGGACTCCTTCAGAACTACTTTTGTTGTAAGCATAAATGTTTAAAGGAATTTGTTATTAATAATAGTACTAGACTCTGAGTGCTTACTACGTGCCAAGCAACGTGTTAAGCACTAGATGTACATTACCTCGCTTGTCCTTACAACTGCCTCAGAAGGTGGCCATGCCGGTCCCCTTTCCCCTCCCCACTGTACAGCCAAGGAATCTGAGGCTTGGGGTTCTAAGTCTCTCCAGGGTCGTGTGGAAACAGACAGTAAGCGTCAGAAGGTTCTCTTCCCAGGTCAGATTAATTTTAAACTTAGTTCTTGGCTGTTTTGTTCTATTACTGCTTTTTTTTTCTGCCCAGAATGGAAAGATCCACACACACTCACAATTACAGAATTACAAGTTTAAATGGGGGTTTTGTTTGTTTTTAAGAGACAAACAGAAGAGTTACGAAGTAAAAGTCTCTTCTAATGTCACTTCTCATCCAGAGAAACATTGTTAATAGAATCCTCCAAGGCTTTCCCTGTGTTTTTGTGTGCATGCACCCACACTTATTTTAATATTAAAGTGAGATTCCATTTAGAGTTGTGTTAGTGGTGTGGTTCTCTGCCATGTTTTTGACATCGCATTCCACTGTGGTGGCTGAATTATAACCGGCCCTTACAGTGGTCAGAGTGACTTGTAAATGAAGAATACAGGTGTCTACTCTTAGGACTTAGCTAAACAGTATTTAGCAGCTTGGATGAAAATTGGTTGGGTTTTTCTGTTGGTTTGTGTAGTTTTTTTTGTTGTTTTTAGTCTTCAGAAAAATCAGTAGTAGTAGTATCTATCTTGAATCTCAAATGTAATTTGAACATCTCAGAAGCAATTCAAAATTCTTAATGTGAATCACTTTTTAGGAGCTGTTGGACAAATATCTCATTCCTAATGCTACGCAGCCAGAAAGCAAGGTGTTCTACTTGAAAATGAAAGGAGACTATTTTAGGTATCTTTCTGAGGTTGCATCTGGAGACAATAAACAAAGTAAGTAACGTTTTAAAGAATACAGTCAGTAGGAGGGCTAGTATTTCATAATGAAATCCATTTTGACTTTGTTTACAATAGATACTAAGATCACAGTAACGAGAGTTTCAGGACCACAGAAGCAAATCTCTATCTAGTGGACAGATAGGAAGGGTATTAGAAGTTTAGTATGTAATATATGTGGTGAACTCTTACCTGGGAATTGATGGTTCTCCGTATAATAAAACTGTAAAATATGGTGGTTCACCTTGGCTGTGACTTTCTTTACCCAGTTTTAGTTGCTACAAATGTAGTTTGAAATCTAAATGGAAAATTTCAAAGATAGATGAGTCATAAATTTTCCCAAGTAACCCTGTATATGCTAGCCACCTATGACTTACCTAGTTGCCATATTGGTTACTTGATTGACTGTTCTAGTATGGCACTGCTTGTGTTCAAGTAATTTACTGATTTCCAGAATGCAAACTTACATTCCAGCATATTGATGGAACTGTCCTGTTAATCTCCTATGTGAGTTACCTTGAGCATAGATGATAGGTTTCCATACTGTCTAGTTCCCGGCATCCACAGATGAGGAGACCACTGTGTGGACCACCATAAGGTGCATTTCTTCAACACATGGCTTACTGTGATGTGATTGTGGCTGCTTTACTCGTTACCATGTGCCAAGTAGTTAGGGTTGCACTATTCTCTTAGCACTTTGAATCTGGGTGTGGGTCTCCAGTTTTTCCACTGAAAGAAACCAGAGTTCATGTATGGACTGTTTACTTAGGCCACATACTGGGTGAGTTAAGTTGAAAATTTGAGCTTGTTTATGCTGACCTTAAACCCCATTATTTTTTCACTAGAACATATTTTCCACACTTAATCTTATGAAAGGCCGTGTCTATATTTCTCAGATGCTTTAATAGACTTCCTCCTAATTGTCTGTTTTCTTCCAAAGCATTTGCTGTAGTACTTACATAAACATTGAACAAGTGTTCAGGTGGAATGGTGAAGACACGGACCTTTGTATTGATAGTTCATTTACTTTAGCCTCTTCACTGAAGTAACTTGATAGTGGATCATCCAATGGGATGCAGCCTGTGCAAGAAGCTGACCTTTTTATCTTCTTTCTAGCCACTGTGTCGAACTCTCAGCAGGCTTACCAAGAAGCATTTGAAATTAGTAAGAAAGAAATGCAGCCTACACACCCGATCCGACTTGGCCTGGCGCTGAATTTCTCAGTCTTTTACTATGAGATTCTAAACTCTCCTGAAAAGGCCTGCAGCCTGGCCAAAACGGTGAGGAAAGAGAGACCCTTTTGCTATTTCCAAGAACTTCCTTCTATTGATGACAGTCCTCACTGTCTTGGACATTTAAACATTTTCTAGGGGGTGGGATTTTAGGAAATAAATACAGAGCTGTTACTTGGTGCTTTCGTCTGAATACATGCTGACTTTTGTTTTACTTTGTTTGATTACTGTTGGGGTCATTGGTAGAACCTTTGAGGTAAAAGTGGTGCTTCCCAACAAGCTTTGAGCATTGGGCATTGTCATGTTTGTGCCAAGAGAGGACATCATGAAAGAAATGAGATCCCATTTTGTTTGTGCTGTATTACTTCCTGTCTTCTTTGGGGAGCTTTCTCCTATGCACACTGTTATTTCAAACTTGAATTTGGAAAGGGTGCCTGCAGTGAATTCTACAACTTGAACCCCAGAGACAAATCAAGCTTAGTGAGGTGAGCTTTGCTGTTCTCCCTTTGACCTTTGTGTACAGACCTTTTTAGTTTAAACAAAAATAGAAACCGCTTTGGCAATTAAAAATTTGAGTGAGCTTATAGACTAAATGTGCTAACAGTAACAGTGTTTGTTGGTGGGGATTTGTCATTGCTGGTTGGTGCTTTATACATGTCACACATTGGAACCAGCTGGCAGACATGTGAGAGGAGAGCAGGGCAGTTCCCATCCTCCTACCTGCAGGAAGGGTAGAGCTAATGCAGAGAATGTCCACGTCTTTGCTAATAGCTCTTTGTTTTAGGCATTTGATGAAGCAATTGCTGAACTGGATACGCTGAATGAAGAGTCTTACAAAGACAGCACCCTGATCATGCAGCTGCTCAGGGACAACCTCACTGTAAGTACCCTGGAGGCCGTTCACCTACTTAACCCACTACTGTCCAGGGTGTAAGAGGGATTTGTCAACTCACAGTACAGTTCTACGTTGTTACGTTAACCTGTATTGTACTGCTACCTTTATGCCTTTGCAGTCATCATTGTCTATGGTAATAAGGAGTTTTGAATAGTTGAGTGAGAGACCTGGAAACAGGACTCAGTGGTTCTCAGCCTGTTCTTCCAGAGGACCCAGGTTCCCAGCACTCACTCAGCAGCTCACAACCATCTGTACTCCAATTCTAGGGGATGTGGTGCCCTCTTTTGACTCCCTAGAGCAGTAGGCATGTAAATGATGCACAGACATACACGCAGGCAAAACACCCATACATGTAGGATAAAATGAAAAAGAAAACTTAGTGGTTGAGGTAAATATACTAGGCCCACCTCTTGGAGAAACATTTTAATGATCTATTATTATAGCTTTCTATTTCCTTTTCTCTTGCAGCTCTGGACATCAGAAAACCAGGGAGATGAAGGAGATGCTGGAGAGGGAGAAAACTAATGTCTGTCATGCTGTGTGATCTCTTTGGTGTCACTCTGTATCCTCCACATTATGTCCCTTTGTGCGATAAACAAAAACAAAAAAATCGAATGTTGACTTTCGATTTTTCACAGCCTAAGCCTAGCAAAAATGGTCCCTGGGATAAACAGCTGGTATTTGTATCTAAAACTCAGACTGGTCCCTTAAATGCCACGGCATTTCTGAAGTCTTGATTTTTGATCAACATTGACAAGGATTACTGTATGTTTAATTTTTACAAACTGAACACTGTGATTATGGGGTTTTGTAATTTAGCAGAGCTCTTACTGGTAGGAAAAATAGACCTGAATTATGTATAACTTTTTGGAAAGTTTAATCTGATATCAGAATAGTCACTGAAAATACAATTCTGTTGTAAAGTTGTACAGAAAGTTCTAGAGATTCTGTTGTGATGCCGGGACTTAGGGTGAGATGCTTACCATTGGCACCCTGAGTTTGGTGACTCACGGTAATTCTGCCTATGGTTGATGGCTTATTGACGCTTGATCAATATGGGCTGTTGCCACTCAAAAGTTCATGACCACAAATATCTGCAGTGTCTTCTCCTGAGGAAACTCAAAACCTGAAAGTGAAATTCTTTAGCTGATAATTGGGCTATGACACCACAAAAAAGGTCCCGTGCTCATACCACATCTGTGACTAAACCCCTTTACTACAGCAGTGTGTTCCTTATTAGCAACTTGTGAAAGCAGAGATCTATTTCTGTTACCCCCTAGCTAAAGGAGAGAAAAAGAGAGAGCAGTCTGTCTTAGGAATGGCCATACTAGTTTGCTGGATAATTCCTTTAAGGACACTGTTCTGGGGAGATGGTCTCTTGTCTGAGGAGCACTCCTAGTCTTGGAGGGTGGGTCTTCCTAGCTTGGAGGGTGGGAACTTGGAGATTTAACATTCTTTCCGTCCTGTCCTTCTGGCTGCTGACTTTGGTTTTCTCCTCTTTAAATTTACAGCTTTCTGCTTCCTTGGGTGTTTTCTTTTGGAAGCCTTTATTTGTTGTTACTGTATGGACAGGGGCGAGGCATTGAGCACATTGGGGAGCAAGCCTTGCTTCAAGGTGTTGGGAAAGGTGGCCCGCCAGCACCGTCACCCCCGTCTTCCTGCAGCTCTCGGCACAGTCGTTGTTCATTCCATGACTGAATCAAAAGAAGTCTCTTTAAGTAGCCATGATTTCTCCCTGTTGCAATCAGCCCTGATAGTGCTTGTTAGTACCTGTCACCAGACCCTCCCAGTGTACCCATCCAGCTTAGTTCTCAGACTTGTCAAACAAGACCCTGTAACACAGGGAAGTTGCATGGCCACTACAGTAGAGAGCTCCAACAGCAGCCAGGCCTGACAGTCTCACAGTATCACCCCTCTACCTTGACATTCCATGGAGCTGTAGAATCCATCTGTTTGTCCATCTGCTGAAGTGAGAAAAGAATTCATGCACTGATTTAAAACCAAAAAACAAAACAAAAAAACAAAACAAAAAAAAAACTAAAAACAAAAAACAAAAAAAAAAAATCCCTTCTTTCTAGCTAAACAAAAATGTGCAGTTAATACTTGGCGCTTGACAACGCAGTAGTGAGTGTGGACCCAAGCCTGTCTGTATATCTGGTAGCTCTTTGCTTTGTTTCTTCCTTACCAGTATTCTGCCTAACGTTTGCTTCTGTGGTGGTTATATTTACCTAGCAAGCACACCTGTGGTTGTGAAAATAGTATAGCAAAAAGAAAAAGAAAACCCTGGTTACTGATGTACTAGATTCGTGTGTGTCTTTTAAGCATTCTAGTTTCACCTTACCCGGAGGAATCAGGAAAATGTAAAAACTCAAAAGTGAAATAAACGTTTTATCAGTTAGTTGCCTGTGGATTGATGTATCACACTATCTGTCACTCAGGACTATTCTGATCACACCTGTTTGGAGCTTTTTCTTTTAAAAAGTAGTTTTATTTAACCCTTTGGAGCCAGCAGGAAGACTGTGTACGGCTGTTTCTGTCGAGGTGGATGTGATCATTGCCGTCTTGACCTCAGAACAGCTGTGATCACCTGTGCAAGGCCCTCACCAAAATGGGCCGTTTTTTGTTTTTATTTTGTTTTTTCTTTTAGGAGGGGGTGGGGCATATTTCACAAGATTACATAAGCGCTTTGGCTGGCGGCGGCGGGCACAGATGGCAGCCCTGCTGGTGACATAGCTGTTCTGAAGTGGCGCAGGGGGCCTGCCAGTGGTACAGCTGCCTGTGGACCTGCCCGTGCTCCTTCCTGTCAGGTCCCCTGTAAAACATAACTCGTTTGCCAAACTGGACTTGGATGGGGTCCTTTAGTCTCTTAGCATCTTCCCTGTCTGTAGTGAGTAGATGTGTCTGTCCCTAGGAAAAGCCCTGTGATATGCCACGCAACAAAACCAAAGGCGAGTCTAGGAGGGGCAGTTGATGGCCCCGGCTATAGGTGCTAAGGCACACAGCTGAGCCAAGTATCGGAGAAACCCCCAGCTGGCAATTTGCTTCTGTAGTAGAGTCTGCCAGGTAAGAGATTCCCCCAAGCAGCCGGTGGACCAAGTGTTCTTACAATCCCGGAAAGCATTTGTGGGTCAGGATGTAAGCAGGCAGCGGCGGTTGCACGGTCTGTGCTGTAGGTAATCAGACGTGAGGAGGCTGCACTGTCAGCCCATAGTTTCTTCCTGGAGGAGTTACAGTGGGAAGAATGGACGTTACCTACTGTTAGCTCCTGGGAGTTAAATGGGAGGAGGAAGGAGAGGGAGAGGGAGTGCTTGTCTTACACAACTGATATACGAGGTACAAACTGAGTCTCTTTCCTGGGATCCAAAAACTTGGGAGCCCATGGGAAGAGTTGGTAATAAAAAGGAAGGGAAGATCCATGGCCCAACGTGCAGGTGGCCTTAGAGATGGTCCAGTACAAGAAAATGATAATCGGAATACTCTGCCTCTGAACAGCTTGACTGGGGAAAGACCGAGATGGCTCCATGGGTAAAAACAAAGTATGTTCCTGCTACCAGGCCCGGGGACCTGAGTTTGATTCCTAGAATTAACATGGTGGAAGGAGAAAAGGGAAGTTGACCCCTGACCACATGTGCACCCTGGCATGTGTGTACTCATACACACACAACAACAAAAAGACTTTTAACAATGTCTGTTGAGACTCTGGGGCATGGGAGAAGATGGAGTGAAAAGTCTAAGTGTAGGTGCCATGAAATGGAGATTATCACTCATCCCTCCTTGAGATAAAGGGTATAGTCTGAGACAGTAGGAAATCAGACTGTCAGCTCCTATAAACTATTGAGGACTCTTGGTCATTTCCTGAGGCTGCCATGTATATTAGGAACTAGAAGACAATAAAAAGGGCAGGCATTCCTGAGAACTGGGTGTGAAGGAAATGCTTGCTGTACAGTTCAACACCTAGATAAGACTGTTGACAAGAAAGTTAAAAGCTAATTCAGCAGTGACCTCAGGACTGGTATGGGCCCTTAGGCCTTTGCTGATACTAGTAGGGGACGTGACCTTCACTAGATAGGAGAGGCCAGCAGGTCTGTGATGAAGAATAGCGTGTACACAGAGTTAGTGAGTGCTAAAGTACTCAGGAGGACTTGAGAAAAAAGGAAATGCAGGAAAGGTCTTTGGTTGCTTAAAAAATGAATGAAGTCCTAGTTGTATTGAGTTGGGGTGACAGGAAACCAGATTTGGTACTTTTGAGCCTCTAGGACAGCAGTTCTCAACCTGTGGGTCACAACCCCCAGGGAGTCAAACGACTCTTTCACAGAGTCACCTAAGACCATCAGAAAACATTCACAATTCATAACAGTAGCAAAATCACAGTTACAAAGTAGCAACGAAAATAATTTGATGGCTGGGGTCACCACAGCTTGACCTGTATTGGGGGTTGCAGCTTTAGGAAGGTTGAGAACCGCTGTTCTAGAAAGAAGACTTCAGAGCCAGGCATCAGCTCCCCCGTGTGGATGATGACAGAGAGGGTTGGGATGCCGGTGGAGGAAGCTCTGCAGTGGAACCACCTGAGCCCACCCTCAGAAGTGGCCAAGATTAAAATGAGCATACAAAGGAACTAGAGGCTCCGTGGATTGCACGTTTATCTGCCCCTTATTAATGTGTAAAATATGGGCTGTGGTAAGGTACTGGAGCTAACCTTGGCAACCCTCAAAGGTACCAAGAACTGAGCAGCAGTGAGTTGACTGTGAGAGAGAATGGTAGAGGTAGGTGCTAAATTCATCCTGTGAGTGGCTGATCATCTGCCCAGGGCACTGTGCCTTTCTCCCCAGTTGGTAGATGTACCGCTAGGGATGCTGCATACCACTTTGGAAAGTTTCTACTTGGAGTGACTGTAAGGCAGGCAGGTCTGGTTAGGTGAGCTGAGAGCTGTAAAGTTGTTTGACCTCCCTGCCATGGGGCAATAAATACCAAATGACATAGGCTGCCCAGGGTGTGACAAAATTACAGAAACCATGAAGAATTTTTAAAGGATAGAGCATCCACCCAGCCCCAAACACTTTCAGCAGCCCAGTGTGTCCAGTAAAGAAGCCAGATGGAGGCTAGTCATGGTGTCACACACCTTTAATCCCAGCACTTGGGAGGCAGAGGAAGGTGGATCTCTTGAGTTCAAGACCATCCTGGTCTACATAGTGAGCTCCAGGACAGCCCGGACTACAGAGAGACCAGTGCAGCAGCAGCAATACGGGTCCATTGAGGTTGCTCAACTGGTTGGGGCTCGCGTTGCCAGGCCTGAAAACCTGAGTTTGATCTACAAGGCCCACATGGTAAAAAGAGCCAACTCTCAAATGTCCCCTGACCCCTACATACATGCCATAGTGTGCACATGCACATGTGTGCATAGACCCACAGAATGAATAAGTTAACAATAGATAGTTAATGTTTACATTACAACAAAAAGAGCCAAACAGCTCATGGATAATGGCTGAATTAAATAGAGAAATGCCACCGCCATCCACCTGCTTATACCCAGGATTGGTCTTTTGAAACAGTGTAAGTGATGAAGTGTCCCCTTGCTTCACTATTCCCCTAGCTACTGGATCCCCAGACCTGCTCTCACTCAGCAGGAGCAGCTTCATCAAGGTTTCCTCCAGAGCCCCACTGTCATGGGATTGTTAGCCAATAAACAAGGCAGGCACCTTCAGGAACATAATCCTGGATTAATGTACCTTCAAAATGTTTATGTTCCATTAAACACTATATATAATGTGAGCTGAGCATGCCCAGAGGCATTCCTGTCCATCACTTTCTTAAACATGGGTCTCAGCATCTTAAACTGTCCTAAAGAGCATACTTTACCTGAGTTTATTTAGGAGGGGGCCACATCCTCTGTGAATAGCTGTATAGTCTTGTATAAAACCCTTATGCTTCCTTCAGCCAAGGAGGGCATTGCTTTAGAAACAGACCCCTCTTTCCAGGCTTCGAGCAGTAAAATAAAATAAATTCACTTTTGGCTTTACACTCATCAGGATACAAACCCAGTGTCTGGTCACATGATGGTAGTCCAGGACCCTGCTGTACGATCTGCCCTCCGCAAGATGGTTTCATTATATAGACGATATGATGCTAGTCTCAGGGTGTTTGACAGATTTAGAAACACCTTGAAGATGTGTACACCGAACCTAAAGAGAGAGTGGGAAGTTAATCCACACAGTGTGAGAGCCAGCTGAGGAACTTTTAAGAATTTTAGGGTTGGTAAGACATATGCTCCCTGACAAGGTATTGATCAAATTCTACAGTATTTTCTGGACATGACTGTTATGCTCATGAACTCAGCAATGTGGTTGCCAGCACAGAATCAAGCCAGTCAGCATTCCAGCACAAATGGGGGAGGGGCTATTGACAGCCAATGGCTGCTAGAAGAAGACAGTCAGTTTTGTTTAGGGGTGTGGCCCCTGGTAAGCTGACCGTGCTCTAGTAGATGGGTACACGCCCATACATATATGGGTAGCACTATGGAACTCTGGGTTATTTAAAAAAAAAAAAGGCATGAAGTCAGGAGGGGACCATGGAGGTGGGGTTGGGGGGGAGCTGGAGAGAGGAGTGAGGGTGGGTATGATTAAAATAAATTGGATATATGTATGAAATCCTCAATGAATGAATAAAACAGAAGCTGGAGAGATGGCTCAGTGGTTAAGAGTACATACTGCTTTTTGTAGAGGGCCCGAGTTTGGTTCCCAGTACTCACGTTTAGTGGTTCACAACCTCCTGTAATTCCAGCAGCACAGGAAACCAAGACCTCTGACCTCCATGGGTGCATGCACTCATACTCAGATATCTACACACAAACACACATGCATACAATTTTTTTTTTTTTTTTTTTGGTTTTTCGAGACAGGGTTTCTCTGTGTAGCTTTGCGCCTTTCCTGGAACTCACTTGGTAGCCCAGGCTGGCCTCGAACTCACAGAGATCCGCCTGGCTCTGCCTCCCGAGTGCTGGGATCAAAGGCATGCGCCACCACCGCCCGGCCTCATACATACAATTTTTAAAATAATCTTTAACATAATAAAAATAGCTTTTAAAAATTCTCTAATAGCCTGTGCCTAAGAATGTAAAACAGACGTGGGTGTTTGAGGATCTCCTAGGGAACTGGTGCGTTTTTATTTTATTTTTATTAAGACTAGTTTGTCCTGGTGCCAGGGAAAATCCCAGGAATCCATAAGGATGACCCCGGCTAAGACTCCTAGCAATAGTGGAAAGGGTCCTAGAACTGGCCCTCTGTAATCAGATTGGTAACTGCCCTAATTGTCATCATAGAACCTTCATCCAGCAACTGATGGAAGCTGATGCAGAGATCCACAGCCAAGCATTGGGCTGAGCTCCAGGAGTCCTGTTGAAGAAAGGGAGGAAGGGAGGGTCAAGATCATGACAGGGAAACCCACAGAGACAGATGACCCTCTAGACCGACAGCCAGGGAGCCTGCATGGGACCCACCTAGGCCCTCTGCATGTGGGTGACAGATGTGTAGCTTGATCTGTATGGGGCCCCTAGCAGTGGGACCAGCATCTGTCCCTGGCACATGAGCTGGCTTTTTGGAACCTATTCCCTATGGTGGGATGCCTTGCTCAGCCTTGATGCAGGGGGGAGGAGCTTAGTCCTGCCTCAACTTGATATGCCATGCGTTGGGCATATCATGGGAGGCCTTACCCTTTCTGAGGAGTGGATGGGGGGAGGGTAAAAAGGAGGTGGGGGAAGGGAACAGAAGGAGAGGAGGGAGGGGGAAATGGTTGGTATGTAAAATAATCAATAATTTTAAAAAAGACTTGTTTGTTGGGCCTGGAGAGACAGCTCGGCGGTTAAGAGCACTGGCTGCTCTTGCAGAGGACCTGGGTTCAATTCCCAGCACCTACATGGCAGTTCACAACTGTCTGTAACTCCAGTTCCCTGGGATCTGACATCTTCACACCAATGCACATAAAATAAAGAAGTAAATGATTTTTTAAAAGGCTGTGTGGGTTCTAGATTTAAAAAAAAAAAAGACTTGCTTATTTTTATTTCAAGTGTATGACAGTTTTGCCTTCATACATGTATGTACACCATGAGCAGTGACCCTAGAGACCAGAAAAAGGCATCAGTGCCCCCTGGAACTGCAGGTACAGATGGTTTTGAGCTACCATGTGGGTGCTGGAACTGAACCTGGGTCCTCTGCAACTGGTATTTTTATACCCTACCTTCTTATCCTTAGAACCTGAAAAAAAAATTTTTTTTTTTGAGACAGGGTTTCTCTGTGTAGCTTTGGAGCCTTTCCTGGATCTCACTCTGTAGCCCAGGCTGACCTGGAACTCACAGAGATCTGCCTGCCTCTGCCTCCCGAGTGCTGGGATTAAAGGCATGCACCACCACCGCCCAGCAGAACTTGATTTTTAAAGGCAAAAAAGGGGGGGGAGAGATTCCATGTGGAATTTTTCACAGAAAGACCTAAAAAACTTTTAGGTCTGATCTACTACTAGGTCCCAATAGGATCCTGGCCCTAGTCATGCAAAGGAACGGACATGTAGGTACAGCACTGGTGCAGCTCTTAGAGCCGCAGACAAAGCATCACCACAGCTGGAAGCTGCCGCCGGCCACATCAGTGACAGTAGAAGCAACTTACCCAGCTAAGGGTGGAGTTGAAGGCCTCGTGGCCTAACCTCCTGAGAGGGTGAGCCAGCATCCAGCGCTGCAAAGGCAGCACACACACTTACAACCGCACCACGTGGTGTCTGCCAACCCCATCACCAGTGCCATGCAGGCTGTGCTGAGATCTTTTGAGCCACTGAGTCTCCCCTAATAATTGAACCAACAGTCAAACTGGAAAAGGTACTGGAAGGGATGCCACCCATACCTGTAAACCCCTGGTACAAGCAAGATGATGGGCCAGCTAAGGTCACCAGCCAGAAATGGTAGCTACAGCAGTACAATGAACACAGATGCCAAGTGGCTAGAGAGAGGAAGGGGAGGAGTAGCCAGGGGGCCGAGTTCAGAGTAATGTGGATGAAACTCGCCCTTCAGCTGTCTTCAGAGGCTTGACTGTAGAGGGCCCAACGGGACGGGGGGAACTGGTGGGAGCTGGACAGGCAGAGAAAAGAGCAGCTTTGGAAATATATAACACAGTTAAATCTATATAGTATATAAATATATAATTGTATATGTTCAAATACAGTCAATATATAAGATATGCACAGTTAATATATAACACAGAAGCAGCTCTCCTTGTGGTTTCCTATGTAACAGACCACAGGCTCCAAACTGTCACATGCAATCTTCAGTCCCCTGACACAGAACTGTTCGTTCTGTACCCTCAATGCCCAGGTCTCCCTGGACCAGGGTGTTCTGAGAGAAGGCTTTTCTGGAGACAAGATAAAATTGTTTGTATGCACCTGCTTGGGTGTGCGGGTGACTGGGTGTGCAGGTGTGGAGGTCGGAGGTGTCCATAGCTCACTACCTGTTTTTGAGATAGTCTTATACTGAGCCTGAATCTGGTTGTTTTGGCTAGACTGGCTGGCCAGCAAGGCCAGGGATCCACCTGTCTCCATCTCCTCAGGGCTGCAGTCACAGGTGCCCATTGCCACTGTACTTGATAGCTTTTACTTGGACATTGGGGATTTGACCCTGGGTCCTCATGCTTGCATAGAAGTACTTTACCCACTGAACCATCCCCCAGTCTCAAACTCTACAAAACCTTGGAACAGAGTATTTCCATAGAATTCTCTGGTTTGTACTGAAACCACAAAAGAAGTCTCCTTTAATGGTTCCCAAGAGGGAGTCATCCCCATTTTATATAGAGAGAAAATGAATGACCTGGGTTCAAACCGGCACTCTGCCTCTTCTAAACGACTCCACCCACGACTCATCTTGGTGGCCCTGCCCCAGGCCTTGCTGACCTGTGGTCTTGCCCCTAGGCAAGGTGGGAGATGCCGGCCACCTGCGCCTTTCCCAGCCTGAGGACTCCCAGGTGGGTGGGGCTGGGCGCTGGGATTGGCTTACAGGCCTGGTAAAGGCAAGAGGTTGACGGAGGCAGGCGGGACGATTGGCAGAGCCCTGCAGCGGCCACCATCACGTTTGCCAGGCCCAGTACCCTGCGAGCTGGGGCTGCTTGGTGACCCACTTCTGGGTTCCCTGCACAACCATGGACCCCGGTAGCCAGAGCTGCGCACTCTCCTCGCTCTATGTGGGCGATCTGCACCCCGACGTGACTGAAGCGATGCTCTACGAGATGTTCTCCCCCATCGGCAGTATTCTGTCCATTCGCGTGTGTCGGGACGTGGCCACCCGGCGCTCGCTGGGCTATGCCTACATCAACTTCCAGCAGCCTGCTGATGGTAAGCCCCAGAGGAGAGTAAAACCTTGCCTTTAACATCCTTGGGCGAAATATGCCCTTTTGAAAACTACCATCCCAAACTGGAAAATTTTATTTCAAATGAACTTCTATTAGCTAAGAAATAGTAATTTTCTGTCTTTCAGGTAGAAATGGGCCTGTAACTAATTGTGGGTATTTAGTATTGCAGATCCTAGCCAGGGAAGATGAGGCAGCCTGTGTTTCCCTCTTCCATATAACAGCAGGGAAACTGAGACCCAGAAGTTGGAAGGCAGGCATTCGGAGAATTGACAATTGCTGCTGGGTGTATTCCTTGTTGCTGGGTGGCTTTTGTGTTGAGTAGACCTGGATTAGGAGCCCGGGATCTGTGTGACACTGGGCAAGTGGCTCAACCATTCTGAGCTCAGTTGCCTGAGTAGAAGGAAAACTGGAGTTCTGCCTTCCTTCAAGAGTGGTTATAGAAGAGATTGAGAGCACCTGGGAGGAAGCTGGCCAACGCCTTGCAGGTGGAGAATGGGAAAGCCTTGGGTTTCCTGCCCTCCAGTGTAGTCTGACATGGGGTCTACACCAGGTGCCTCACCTTTTTGATTCCGGAAAAGCTGCCTCCTCTTGTCTTTGTTGGCCACTGTCAGGGTGAAAGGATTGGCTAGTAACTGTCAGCTGAGCATGTCTGGGCTTCTGCAGAGAATGGAGGGCAAGGGTTAAGAGCCATGGGTTTTGCTGGGGCTATGTCACTTGGCAGGACCAACCTTGGTAGGACCAAGGCTTGTTCCTCAGTAGCATGAAGAATGGGGACCGGAGTGTGAAGGACCATTTGGGACACTGGACGTACTCTTAAGTGACAGCCTATGAACCACTCCAGAAATGTAACCAAGAATTGGCCTCCCTGGACTACTGGAGAAGCCATGGCAGGAACATGAATTTGAGGCCAGCCTTCGCTACATTTTGAGACATGTCTCAAAAGGAAGAAAGACCCCTTAGTTCAGGCCTCCTGGGTGAGCTGAAAGGTTCCCAGAGTCCAGGATGCTCTCTCCCTCTACTACACTCCATTTCTGCCTCCTCTTGCCTCTCTGCAAGGCTCATGAGTGAAACAGGACCTGACCATCTGGGCCAGTCCATAGATGGGAGGTCTGAACTGTAGTTTTGTTCCTGACTGGGTATGCTAGCACTGGATGAAAAGTATAGACTTCTGTTCTCTCTCTCTCTTTTTTTTTTTTTTTAAGATTTATTTATTTATTACGTATACAGCATATGTAACTGCAGGTCAGAAGAGGGCACCAGATCTCATTACAGATGGTTGTGAGCCACCATGTGGTTGCTGGGAATCGAACCCAGGACCTCTGGAAGAACAGTCAGTGCTCTTAACCTCTGAGCCATCTCTCCAGCCCCTAGATTTCTGTTCTTACTCCACTGCATTCCCTCGGTCTTTTCTGTGCCTCTGAAGCTAGCAGGGTCTCTGAAGCAGGCAGCACATTATCTGCAAGGCATAGCCTGTCCAAGTAGAAGGATGGTGGACAGAGGTGGCTTGACACGCTGCCGTTTACCAAACACCTAGTCCCCGTGTGGTACAAAACCCAAGTACCATTTGTTGCACGCTTTGCTTCCCAATCTGCCTGACTGCTGGGCAGTTGGTGGCATCGCTTCAGTTAGGCATGGGGAGGAAGGTACCACCATCATCTCCTCACTTCACAGGTGGGGATGAGGGACTGGTGAGGAGGGTGCAGTTCACATCCCCTTCCTTTACATGCTCATCCATGCAATATTCTTGGCTAGACTAGCCTGGCTCTGCCTTCCCAAGCTTCAGTCTCCCCATCTGTAAGATGGGGATCCATGCTACTTGCTAAGAGTTGATCTTTCTGGAACGTCCAAGGAGTACCATGTACAATCATCCCCTTCAGCTTTAATCCACCCAAGTCTCCAGGCTCATATCTCAAGTGAGACCCAGATTATGGCTTTCCTTTCCTCGATCCTAGAGAGCACAGTGGAAACTCAGGGTCACAAATGTCACCTAACTTGCCCCTTTCTCTCCTTGCCTCCCCCGCCAGCGGAACGGGCACTGGACACAATGAACTTTGAGATGATCAAAGGCCAGCCCATCCGTATCATGTGGTCCCACCGAGACCCAGGGCTTCGCAAGTCTGGTATGGGCAACATCTTTATCAAAAACTTGGAGAATTCTATTGACAACAAGGCTCTCTATGACACCTTCTCCACCTTCGGGAGCATTCTCTCTTCTAAGGTGGGTGTGCCCCTCTAGGAGAGTCAGTTGGTATCAGATACCTCTGTGGTAGAGGGGTATCAACCAGCACCTTACTTCACAAGCTTAGGGTACAGCAGGCACTTGGCCAGTAGCTATTCATGGTTGTATCTTCTTAAAACCACTAGAGGACGCTCCTGCACCCAATAGCCCGCTCGTGGGATAATCACCCGAGCTCATGGCTTTCAACACCACTGTTTATTTAGTTTATAATTCGGAGTTGGTGATTTGGGTTGAGCTCAATTAGACAGCATTTCTGGTCTTGTCTGGGTTCCCTCCCATGCTACCTGAGCCTGGCGGAAACTCTCAGGAGGCCCGTGTGGGTTTAGGCTGGCTGTCAGTTGAAACATCTGGGATTTTCTCTGTGGTCTTCCATGCTCCTGCAGGCTATCCCAGGTCTTTCTCACAGCTGTGCCAGGTCTCAGACGACTGGGAGTAGAAATTCACTAGGCTATCTATAATTTCAACTCAGAATCGGGACCCCTTTACTCCCACTGTTCTCTATAGACCAAAGGCAGTCCCCGACCAATCCACATTCAAGTGAGGGGGTAGTTAACACCTACAAAACAGAATTAAGTGTCTGGTTATGATAAAGTTATTCAATAGGGACACTGTAGCAATCAGCATCTTGCTTCTGGTTTTCCCTTGCTGCTGGAGACAGAACCCACTCTACCACTGAGTGTCGTGCCCAGTCCCCACCACATCTTGTTTTTTTTTTTTAAAGATTTATTTATTTATTATGTATACAGTATTCTGCCTGCATGTGTCCCTGCAGGCCAGAAGAGGGCACCAGATCTCATTACAGATGGTTGTGAGCCACCATGTGGTTGCTGGGAATTGAACTCAGGACCTCTGGAAGAGCAGTCGGTGCTCTTAACCACTGAGCCATCTCTCCAGCCCCCACATCTTGTTTTTAAGATGTTTCTTATATTAGAACATGAAGTCCATCTAAGTGGCATTATTATTTCTAGTCACTGCTGTGTCTCAGAGTCTTTCTTTGTGTTCAGTTTCCCGCATCCCTGAGCACACTGGATGTCCCCCCATCATGATGTGCAATAAGTACTGGATGGTTTATGGTTTGTGAAGAGTTCTGATTAGTTCTCTAACCTTATATATGAGACTTTTCAGGACCAGAGGCTTAACAGCAGGTCAGTATGTGCTGAGTATAGGGTTAAAGCCTGGGTGTTGTGCCCTAGATGTTATTGAGGATGGCCGATTAGGTCCCCAGAGGTCTCTGGAAGGGCAAAGGCAGAGGTATCAGGATCTCTGGGTTTGAGCCTTTCCTGAACACTGCCGTGAGCCAGCTGCAGTCCCTAGGCTCTCAGTTGAGCTCTTCCCCCTTCCCTGTGAATAGGGCCTGTCTGCCACTCAAAGGAATAGACTGACCCCTGAGGTGTGTACTGTACTGAGAGAGCCAGGGCAGCTCCTTGCTTTGACAACCAGTGGGAGGAGGAAGCTTAAGGAAGCTTAAGTATGAGCTAAGTTCTTACATACTGTCAGAAGCTTCTCTTTCTGTGTGCCTGGATGTCTGCCTCTATAGCCTCTCTGGATTCCTCCCTGCCACCCCTCAAGGTGTCCCCCGGAAGATTCCAGAGTTTTGTTTGAGGCCACAGAGGTTTGGAGCAGTAAGATGGCTTGTCTGCCGTTTAGTGTAGTACATGGATGGGGGTTAACATTAAAAGCTTTGGGTTTGATTTTGTGGGTTGTTTGGTTTTTGTTGTTGTTTGTTTTTCGGGGTTGTTTATTTTGTTTTGAGGAAGGGTTTCTCTGTGTAGCCCTGGGTGTCCTGGAACTCACTCTGTAGACCAGGCTGGCCTCAGACTCAGAGATCTGCCTGCCTCTGCCTCCCAAGTGCTGAGATTAATGTGCCACCACTGCCTGGTGCTTTTCTGTTGTTTTGTTTTTTGAGACAAGGTCTTACATAGTCCTGGCTGGCCTTGAGTTACTATGGCTATGTAGTTCAGCTACCCTCAAACTCAAAGCAGTCCTCCTGCCTCGCAGTCTCCTGAAGTGTTGGGATTACTGCTGGGCACTGCTGTGCCTGGCTTTAGAGTCAGTTTGAACTGGTGGGTTCAAACTTATCAGATTAACTGTAGTAAATTGAGCAGGGGGAAAGATGTCTTCATCCCTTCTTCAGGCCTTGAGTCCTCTGGGCCACTAAAGACTGGATGGCAAGCTTTGTGTGACACAGGCAAAGCCTTGTAGGCCTCAGGAAGCCCTGCCGTGGGCTTGGTCAGGAATAAGGCTTACAATGAGGTCCCTACCTCCACTCCAGGGAGCTTGGCTGGAATTGGTAGGAATAACTGGAAATTGGGCTCAGAGGGAAGAATGAAGTTCTCAAGGAGTCACGGGCCCAGAAAGGAGGGAGCCATTAGGCCAATCAGGAAAGAGTTCAGTGGCACCATGGGAAGAACACATGATCTGAGTCAGGCCACCTCTATGCAAACACCAGCTGCATAGCAACAAGGCAACATAATGTATTGAGCCGGAAAGAGAACTCTGGAGGCCAAATGTCCTGAGTTCAAGTGCTTTCACTTCCTGACTGGGTACCCTGCACCTACACTGGCTTCCTCGAAAAGGGGCAGTGGTAGAACTCCCCTCCTAGGACTGTGGGGAGTTATGTGCAGCCTATGGAAAGGTACCTGGGCCATGAAACACCTAAAGGACCATGCAATAATTATGAAATTGCTACTGAGTGGTTGACTTTGGACCAGTCATCTATTCTAATTTTCCCACTGGGTCTCAAAAGTTAAGAATTGTCTGGAACATGTAACAAGATAAGTACATATCTTTAGCTAGTGATGGATCCAGAGTGGCAGAGATGGGGACCGTCAACATGGCTAAGTATGAAAGGGTTGACCTTGAACTAAAAGTGAAAAGATCCTGCTTGGGGGAAAAGAGATAGAGAAGTGTGTGACGGGTATGAGATTGAGGATTGTATTTATGTATATGTGTTTGTACCTGCTTGCCTGTATGGGCACTATGTGCAGGCAGTACCCTTGGAGGCCAGAAGAGGGCGGTGGATCCCTTGGAACTGGAGTTGCAGTTGCGAGCTCTCCAATATGGAATTAAACCCAGGTCCTCTGGAAGGGCAGCAAGTACTCATAGCCCCGGGACCATCTCCCCAACTGCACAAGAAGTGGTTTGGATGTAGGATTTGTTGTGCATGGCCCATCAGAGGAGCCTCAACCTACCAAGCTGACAGACTTCTCTGCATGGTTGAAGCCATTGAAGGTTAAAGGGACCTAATCACAGTTTTAGGAAGAGCACCCTAGCAATTTGCATGGGGGTGGAGGGTGGACAGTGTCACTGAGCTGAGCTATGTGGTGGTTCTGTGAAACTGGGGTCATGGAGACCTCAGAAATTGGGCCTAATACCGGGTGGTGGTGGCTCCCGCCTTTAATCCCAGCACTCGGGAGGCAGAACCAGGCGGATCTCTGTGAGTTCGAGGCCAGCCTGATCTATAGAGTGAGTTCCAGGACAGGCACCAAAACTACACAGAGAAACCCTGTCTCGAAAAACCAAAAAAAAGAAAAAAAAAAAAAGAAAGAAAGAAAGGGAAAAAAAAAAAGGAAAAAGAACCTGGGCCTAAGACCTTGACCCAAGAACTGAGAACCATCTGAACTCTAGGTATTTTTTTGTTCTGTATTACAGAACAGACATGGAATGTTCTGTTACAACATTGAGGTGAGTTTGTTCTTGGAATAGTATAGGAAGTGGTAAAAGTCAGACAATATAGGGCAAGGCATGGTGGTGCACGCCTTTAATCCCAGCACTTGAAAGGAAGAGGCAGGTGGATCTCTGTGAGTTAAAGGTCAGCCTGGTCTACAAACCCCAGCTAGGGCTGTTACACAGAGAAACCTTGTCTCAAAAATTCCCTCCCTGACCAAAAATAAAAAGAAAAGAAAAAGAAAAAGAAAAGAAAAGAAAGGAAAGAAAGAAAGAAAGAAAGAAAGAAAGAAAGAAAGAAAGAAAGAAAAGAAAAAGCAATATAGACGAGAAGGAGCTAAGAAATAGAGCTCTGTCCTTTCTGGCTCTGGTCCCCAGGAACAATCCCTGCCAATAGTTTTGTGAGGTGTGTACAGTTGCACACACTTATAATCTAGCTCTTGTGAAATTGAGGTAGGAGAATTGCAAGTTTGAAGCCAGCCTGGGCTACAGAGCAAGAGCCTATCTCAAAAATCTCCTAAACAAACAAAAGCCCCCTAAAACAGAGGTGTGTGTGTGTGTGTGTGTGTGTGTGTGTATGTGTGTATGTGTGTGTGTGTGTGTGTGTGTGTGTGCATGCGTGCGCGCACGTGTGTTTCAAAACTTTCTATTCGTACATCCCACGTTGATCCAAATAGACTTGATTTCTGCCTGCGCCTTAGTTCTCTCTTTCAAATGACTGTCAGCCTTGTAAGCCACCACATTCTCTTCAGCCTCGCACATGCAGTAGACCAGGGCAACTGTATACAGCTTCTACAGCTAGCCTGCCCTGGGATGGTCACAGTATCTCCAGTTTGCTCTCAGAGTCAGGGGGTTTGAAATCCCAAGTCCACCCCTCCTTACGCTGTCACCTCAAGCAAGTGGATTTGTCTCTCTAAATGTCCATTCTCCAATTCTAAACTGGGGCTGTTATGAGATTAAGTCTCGTTCTCCCCCCGCCCCAGATGAAGCCCAAGGTCTAGTACCTGTTAGCAAAGGCTATCTCTAAGCTCCCCCTACATAACTGTCTTTTACACTCACCAATGAACAATTCATGTACAGGTCATTACCCCTTTGTCCTTCTCTTCTCCCTGAAGTCCCTGTTGGGTGGTCTCTGTCCTTCCTCCCTGTGACCCAGGTAGTGTATAATGAACATGGATCACGGGGCTTCGGCTTTGTGCATTTTGAGACCCATGAGGCTGCCCAGAAGGCCATCAACACCATGAACGGCATGTTGCTGAATGACCGAAAAGTGTGAGTTCTCGGCCCTGGGGGGAGGGTAGCGGCTGAAGGGGCAAAACTGTGGAATCAGGAATGTTGCTTCTGAGACTGTCTAATGGGCACAAGGTGCTGGGCAGAGCTCTTCCTTGGAGTATAACCTCAGGTGAGTGGCTGAACCTCTCAGGGACTCTTTCCTTGTGTAAAATTGGAGTTGGTAGACATCAAAGGATGAGAATTCTAGAGGGAACAGCTGAGGACCAAATCATGGATGGGCTTGACGATTGCATCTGTTTTTCAGTGTCTCAGTATGGCTGCAGTTTCTTTCCTCTATCTTGTGTGCTGTTCCATGGGGTCTGGGGGCAGACGGGAAGGCAGGTGCAGCAGCAGGCCTGCCCAAGTTTGCTATCATCCCACTTCCCAGATGGGAAAATTGTGCTGCAGATCCGGAGAGAAGCTGCCTTGGGCTGCTCCTTTCCATATTTGGAATCTGCCCATCTGCTGGCCCAGCCACATGGTCAGTGTTGTGGAGGGAAGGCAGCTCTTTTTGTTGTTTTTGTGTTTTGTTTTTGAGACAGGGGCCTCATACTGTATAGGTGGAGATGATCTCGAACTCACTATCCTCCTGTCTCTGCCATCTAAGTACTAAAATTACATGTGTGAGCCGCTGGCCCTGACTGGAGAGGCAACTTTGGGTTGCCAGAGGCACTGGGTTATCTGACCTGGAGTTTCTCTGGGGAGGGTCCTGTGTACTGATCTTATTGTTTTGTTCTGCGATTTCCTGGATTCTCCAATGTTATTAGCAACCACTTCTCCTTATTGACCTCTGACGCTTGGTGTTCAACTCTTGGTGTCTGCTCCAACTTCCTCATAACACATGTGCTCCACACCACCTGCCTTCCTTATGCCAGGCATTTGTTAATCGAGGATTCTTTTCAGTCAAGTGCCTGTAGTCCCAGCTACCTGGGAGGCTGAAGCAGGAGGATTACTTGGGTTCAGAAGTTCCAGGGAATTCTGGGCAATATAGCAAGTTTCTTATGTTCTCTCTCTCTCTCTCTCTCTCTCTCTCTCTTTCTCTGAAAAATGATTCTTAGATGTGTTTATGTGAACTTGAACACTTCTAGATTTTTCCTCTCCTTTTTAGCTATGCTTGGAATTGAACTAGGTGCTCACACATGCTAGACAAGCACTCTACCACCAAGTTATATCCCCAGCTCAGAAACTCCAGATTTTAAAATGAATGTCCTATTTAAATGATGTAAGTCTATCTCCCCTCCATCACCAGTGACCCAAGCACTGACCATGTCTGATTGGCTCACCCTTGCATCTCTGGTACTCTCCGTGCTTGTTAAATGAATAAGCAAAGCCCAATAGTGGGAGTTGGACCCCAGATTTACAGAAATGAACCCTGAGGCTCAGAGAGGTTCAGTAACTTGCTTAGATCACACAACCAGGTAATTGCAGTGAGGTTCCAGGCTTGAGCCCGATTCCAAAGCCATGCTCTTCTTTCCTGTGCTCTCAGCTACCCAGTCTGGAGCGTTTATTTTGTGTGCAATTGCCACTAGGTTGAAGCTCTTGTAATCTCATGCAAGGTGGCGCTCTGGAATACAGCTTCTTGCCTATTGAAAACAGCTGGGCTCTGGACACGTTCAGTCCATGGAGTATGACCCTGCTAGGGTTCCCAACAACAGACAGGAAACTGAAGGATAGCAATCGGTCCAAGTGACCCAGAGTTGCCAGGTGAGCCCAGACTGGGATGGAGGGATGATGAATCGTGTGGCTTCTACTCTGTTGTGTCCACAGTTTTGTAGGCCACTTCAAGTCTCGACAGAAGCGGGAGGCAGAGCTGGGCGCTCGGGCCCTGGGGTTCACCAACATCTACGTGAAGAACCTGCATGTGGACATGGATGAGCAGGGCCTCCAGGACCTCTTCTCCCAGTTTGGTGGGCATGCTCCCCAAAGGAAAAGGGGGGACACTATTGTTCTTCTTCCAGGCCTAGGTCTGGTGGGAGGAGGGCTTCCCTGGGATTTCTTGGGGACTTAGAGGAAGGAAGGGAACATGCTGGCTTTTCCCCAACTCCCTGCTAAGCCAGTTTGGTCCTTCCTAGGAAAGATGCAGAGTGTGAAAGTGATGAGAGACAGTAATGGCCAGTCCCGGGGCTTCGGCTTTGTCAATTTTGAGAAGCATGAGGAAGCCCAGAAGGTAGGTGCCTCCACGGTCCTGCTCCACTAAAGAGGCACAAAGCCAGGACTGGGAAGCCAGAAGATCAGGAGTGGGCCTGCAAGTGGAGGGCAAGAAAGCACCCTCCCCAGCCCAGGATGCAAGGATCAAAGGGTCTATCATTATCTTTTCTTGTTGGCTTCTAAGCCTAGAAGTTCAAAGAATGGAACATTTAGGCGGGGAAGCAAAAGTCCTCACTATGTATAAATGTTTACTAATAACTGACCTCTTAAGAAGCCTCTTCCCCCTCAAATATTTCTCCCCACACTGGTGAAAATCCTAAACACTGAGTCAGTGTGCACTTGGGTCTGACTTCTGCTGCTTTCTGTGGATAAACAAATGGGAATTCTGTTCTCCATGTGGATTACAGAAAGAACCTGCTTGGTTCCTCTGTGTTCTGGCAGAAGATGCAGGATTTTACACCATCTAATAGATGTGGGGTGTTTAAGAGAAGAAAAAGCTTGGGGCTGGAGAGGTAGCCCAGCTAAGAACACTTGCTGCTTTTCCAGAGATCCTCAATTCCCAGCACCTACATCAGGCAGCTTACAACTGACTGTAACTCCAGTTCCAGGGATCTGATGCCCTCTTGTGGTCCTCTGGAACACTTGCCCACAGGTGGCACACTCACACACAGATATGCACCATACACATACATTAACAAAAATTTTTAATGTTTGAAAAAAAAGATTGAAGTGGTTGAGAGATGGCACAGTGGTTAAGAGCACCGGTTGCTCTTATGAAAGACCCAGGTTCAATTCCCAGCACCCACATGGCAGCTCACAATCATCTGTAACTCCAGTTCCAGGGGAATCTGACATCTTTTAGCCTCCAGGGGTACTGTACACAGACACAAATGCAAACACTCATACACATAAAATAATAAAATAACTTTAAAAAATGTTTTAAACTTTTTTTAAACTTTATTTTATGTGCATTGGTATGAAGGGGTCAGATCCCTTGGAACTGGAGTTACAGACAGCTGTGAGCTGCCATGTAGGTGCTGGGAATAGAACCCAGGTCCTCTGGAAGAACAACCAGTGCTCCTATCTGCTGAGCCATCTCTCCAGCCCAACTTTAAAGAATTTTTAAAAATATTTTTTAAAAGATAAGAAAAATCAGGATTGAAGTGCAAATGTTTCTAAAAATCTTTCTGAACGCTCTCACGGTTAGAAAAAAGAATTGTCCTGCGCTGTAAATTCTAACACGAAGGATGGTGATTAGGCAGCCATGCTGTTTTGGAAGAATGATGTTTGTTGCTTCCTTCAAATTAGCCCTGTTTGGTGGCAATAAAATAGACGGTTAGCTTGTTTCGTAATAGACCTTCCAGGGCAATGTAAAGTTCACAGCAAGACTAGGTGGATGGCATACACAGTCCATGTGCCTGTCACCTCTTCCATGCACAGCCTCCCCCATTACCGGTATCCCCCACCAGAGGGGCACATCTGTCACCATGATGAATCTACTTGGCACATGCACCATCGTCACCCAGGGTCCCTAGTTTACACTAGGGATCATTCTTGGTATTGTTCACTCTCTGGGTTCAGACAAATGTAAAAGTGTATGCATCCAGCATGACCATATGAGAGAGTATTTTCACTCCTCTAAACCTGTGCTCGGGCCATCTCTTCCAATACCCCAGCCCCCTGGCCCCCACTGAGCTTTTTACTGGCCTCATAGTTCTGCCTTTTCCAGAATGTTACTTGGATAGAGTTAGACGGTATGTATCCTTTACTGACTGACTTCTTTCAATGTAATATGCATTTAAATATTTAAAATTTGGTATTTAAATATGGGGCTAGAGAGAGCCAAATTTAGTTCCCAGCACACCCATTAGGAGTCTTACAACCCCCTGTAACTCCAGCTCTGGGGGATCTGATGTCCTCTTCTGGCCTCTGTGGGTACTTGCACACAAGTACTCATGCCTACACCCAAATATACACACCTACACACACTTTAAAAAACTTTAAATTTTTAGCCGGGCGGTGGTGGCACACGCCTTTAATCCCAGCACTCGGGAGGCAGAGCCAGGCGGATCTCTGTGAGTTCGAGGCCAGCCTGGACTACCAAGTGAGTTCCAGGAAAGGCGCAAAGCTACACAGAGAAACCCTGTCTCGAAAAACCAAAAAAAAAAAAAAAAAAAAAAAAAAACTTAAAATTTTTAATATGGAAAACTTAACATTAATTCCGAGTTTTTTGTTTGTTCGTTTGTTTTTTTTTCTTTTCTTTTTGACAGAGTCTCAGCTTGTAGCCCTAGCTGGCCTTGTCAGAGAACAGACTAGCTTTGTGTTCACTGAATTCCTCTGCCCTGTCTCCTGAATGCTAGGGTTTAAAGTCATGTTGTCACCACACAGGCTTCTATTCTGTCTTTTTAAATAATGAGGAATTTAAAACCCACAGTTTACTTCAGAGTCTTGTGCCATATCTTTAAAAAGTGACTGTCCTGTAAGAGGCCATTTCCTTGTATTAATTATTCCCGGATAGAAAGGCCAGCCTAGTTGTAGGTGACCTCCTCTGGCCCAAAAGGTGGGACTGGAGACAGGGATGGTTCTCCATGTGCACTCCTGCTCTCCAGGCCGTGGACCACATGAATGGAAAGGATGTGAATGGGCAGCAGCTGTACGTGGGTCGGGCCCAGAAGCGGGCAGAGCGGCAGAGCGAGCTGAAGCGCAGGTTTGAGCAGATGAAGCAGGAGAGGCAGAACCGCTATCAGGTGAGGGCAAGCCGGAGGTGGGGCTAGGGAGGGGCTGGGGAGGGGGTACCCTGAATATGATTCCTTCCAACAATCGCCTTACTTCTAGAATATGGCTCAGGGCAGGCGACACCTGCCTGTGACAGAAGTGGCACATAACTGCACTACAAAGGGCTGTTGGGAATGCTGTCAACTTTGGTTGGCACAATCCTTTGTGTGTCCAATACCCACTGTATCCTCCAGTGATGAACAATGAGAATGACCTACATATTGCCAAATGCCTCTGGAGGACATCCTACTCTAGGTTGAAAATAATTAGGCCACACAGGTCACATCCAGAAGGTGGAATATTGTTTAGTTGTTAAAGTCACATTGATTTGTGGCTCAGTCAGCAAAGTGCTCGCTGCGCAAACATGAGAACTTAGGTTTGACCGCCAGTACCCACATAAAAACCGAGGAGAGCAGCACACAACTTACCACAAGCGCTGGGAGAGACAGGTGGGTCCCTGGCGCTTGCTGACCCACCAGGCTAGCCTAACTGGTGATCCTCAACTCCCAGTGAAGAGACCAAGTCTCAAAAAACAAGGAGTGATTGAGGAAGACACCCAGGGTCAACCTCTGGCCTCTGCTTATGCCCATACACAAAAAATTCTATTAAGTCCACTGTTGTTTTTTTAAGATTTATTTATGCGTATGAGTATTTGCCTGAGTGTATGTAAGTCATTGTGTGCATGCATGCTACCTGTGGAGGTCAGAAGAGGGCATTGGATCCTTTGGAACCTGAGTTGTAGATGATTGTCAGCCATCATGCATGCTCTTGGAACTGAACCTAGGTCCACTGCAAAGCAACAAGTGCTCTTAGCTGCTGAGTCATCTCTCCATCCCCCTCATGAGCATTTTTTTTTTTTTTTTTTTTTTTTTTTTTTTTTTTTTTGAGATGGAGTTTCTTTGTGTAACAGCTCTGGATGTCCCGGAACTTGCTTTGCAGACCAGGCTGGCCTTGAACTCACAGAGATCCACCTGGCTCTACCTCCTGAATGCTGGGATTAAAGGCGTGTGCTATTACCCCCCCAGCCCTTATCATTTTTGAGACAGAGACTCACTATATAGTTCTGGTTGGCCTGAAACTCACCAGGCTGGCCATGATCCTCCTGTCTCTCTCTCCCATGTGCTAGGATTACAGTCATGAGCCACCAAACCCTACAAGTTAACTAATTAAAATTAATAGTGTAGATCAGTACAATGTAAATTTTTGGAGATGAACCCCTCTAAATGTTTTAAGGAAAGTTTTAGATTTTATGGAGAATGTACATGGTGTGTATGCATGTATACATAGTCATGTACATGCATCCATATGTAATAGTTCTCAGTGAGAGACAGCTTTCTTCTCGCTGCAGGGACACTTGAGAATGTCTAGAACTTTCATTTTCCACACTTTGGGGGGAGGGGATGCTGGCAAACACCTGCAGTGGACAGCAAAGCTCACATAACAAAGGACTGGCAAGAGAAAGGAGAGCTGCCATTTTGACATCTCCAAGACGGGGATTAAAGCTTCCGTATCTTAGGGCTGATGTATGAAAGGGCTTAGAGTGGTGTCTTGCATCATGTAAGATAATATGTCAAGCAGGCAGATGGCAGAGGGGCAGCTATCCTATACTCTGCGACTAAAGCGGAACTGGCCCGTCAGGAGTTCTGCCTACAGCTGTTCCACGCAGCCTTCCGGAGAGCTGTGTGGCTGAGCTCTGGGCCTGGGAGACTCAGCCTGCTGTAGGTCTGAGACCTCCTTCCGTGGTCCCCATGTGTGAAATGGGAGGCTAGGATCTGGGCAGGTGTGTGGGAGCGGTTGCGGGCCTTAGACGGTTATGGGATCTGCGGTAACTGGGGACAGGCAGGCTGACTGGCTACAGGAAGCTGGGCCCTGCATGTCCCTTGTGGCCCTGCCAGCCACTGACCCCACCCCAGGCAGTCTGGGACGAGAGGCAAAGGGGACTGAGCAGAATCCATTCTTTCAGGGTGTGAACCTTTACGTGAAGAACCTGGATGACTCCATCAATGACGAGAGGTTGAAGGAAGTTTTCTCTGCCTACGGAGTGATCACCAGTGCCAAGGTGGGCACTGCGGCACTCCCTGCCCTGCCCTTCACTATCTCGCCCCTCCACGCCCCAGCTTCTCACCCCTGCACCATCCCCAACTTCTCACCCCTGCACCATCACCAGCTTCTCACCCCTGTGCAACCCCCAACTTCTCACTCCTGCACAACCCCAGCTTCTCACCCCTGCACAACCCCAGCTTCTCACCCCTGTGCAACCCCAGCTTCTCACCCCTGTACAAACCCCAGCTTCTCACCCCTGTACAAACCCCAGCTTCTCACCCCTGCACAAACCCCAGCTTCTCACCCCTGTACAAACCCCAGCTTCTCACCTCTGCACAACCCCCAGCTTCTCACCCCTGCACAAACCCCAGCTTCTCACCCCTGCACAAACCCCAGTCTCTCGCTTGGCTTCCAGGGACTTTGGGTTGAGTTCCTCATTCTGGTCTGGCTAACACCTTTGGAGACCCACCAGCAGCCTTGCCTGGATTGGGTGGGAAGAAATTAAATGTATGCTCTAGCTGTAGAGCTGGACTTGATACACTGTAACTATGATTTATTCAACAAACATCCATAGATACCATATAAGCCAGGGTTCCAGAAATTTACCCTATTTCTAGGCCTCGGTTTACTCATCTGGAAAATGGGACAGCTGGGTTGCCACTCATCACTCTTTACTCATTCTTCTCCATTTGTTGAGTACTAGGGATGTGCCCAATCCTGCGAAGTACCTAAGATGTGACAAACGGCCATTCTATTCAGCAGTTCCATGACTGTGCGGGAGGCTTAGAGTCCGTGTCTCATTCTCAAGATGAAGGTGCAGCATGGACTGTGTGGTTCCCAGCCCTGGCTTCTCATCTGGGTCAGACAAGATGCATGTAGAATTCAGAGGGCATGACCTGAACATTTGACTTTCTTTTTTTTCCTTAAAATTTTATTACATTTTATTATGTATGTGTATGTACACACATGCTCAGAGTTCAGAGGTCAACCTGTGGGAGTCAGTTTTCTTCCTTCCACTGTGTGGACCTGAGGGATCTAACAAGTCATCAGGCTTGGCAGCAAGTGCTTTTACCTGCTGGACCATCTCTCCAGCCCCGGATTTATCTAATTATATATATTTTCTACTTTATACAAAGTGTGATAAGAACTAAATGGATGAAGGTGAATACATTGTCCACTGTGAATAAGCCACTGCCAAGTTCGTAGTAAATTCCACTGGAGTGTCCCCTTGTAAAATCTATCTGTTGACAGAAATTCTTGACAATATTTTCGCATTGAGACTTCTGGTCCCTGGGTTGGAGAAATGACTCAGTGGGTAAGAGCACTGTGCAGACATGAAAACCTGAGTTCAAACACCCATAACCTATGGAAAACTAACTCTGCTCACATATGTGCTTGTGACCCCAGTGCTAGGTTGGGTAGAGACAGGAGGATGGCAGGGCCTTGTTCCCTACCAGCCTAGCTTCAGGTACAGTGAGAGACTCTGTCTCAAAGGAATAAGGTCGAGAGTGACAGAGCAGGATGTCCAACATCCTTCTTTAGCCTCAGTGTGCACATAACACACACACACACAAGTACGCACAGGTGCATGAGCACACACACATGTGTATGCATGCAATGGCATCTGGTCCTGATGAGCTTTTGGTTCTCTTCTAAGAATATTTTGCATAGGATAAAATTCATAAGATTACCAGAAAGCCAGTTGTATTGAAATCTAATTATCAAAATATTAAAGCAACAATGCTACATGCTGTGTTGTTAATGTATTAAGCTAAGATCCATCACAAAAGCAGTGAGAATAAATAGCACATTGAGATCATCAACATTAAATAGGACATAAAAATATTTGATTTCACAGGCAATGCTGATACTGCTGTGTTGACTTTTTGTTGCCCATCTCTGTACCGAAGGAAAACAAAGACCCTTTTGCACAATTCTATCAATGCCCCTTGCTTCAGTTCCACAACCCAGAGATGAGGCAGTTGGAGAGGCCCTATGTCACAGAATGGACTCTACTGGAGAGGTTCTTAAAAGGGGCTCTTGTGCCTCCAGCCTACAAGGGCTAAGAATGTAAGGTGCCTCTGATCTGGGAAGTGATGAATATTATTAGTTTAAAAGCTGCAATCTGCTGGGTGGTGGTGGTGGTGGTGGTGGTGGTGGTGGTGGTGGTGGTGGTGGTGGTGGCGGTGGTGCACACCTTTAATCTCAGTACTCGGGAGGCAGAGGCAGGCGGATCTCTGTGAGGCCAGCCTGGTCTACAGAGCAGAGTTCCAGGACCGCTAGAACTGTTACACAGAGAAACCCTGTCTCAAAAAACAAAACAAAGCGAAACAAAAGCTGCAATCTGAGCCAAGCCTGAAGTCGGAACAGTAGCCCTGTGGTTGACAGAAGCCAACAGTAGCAAAGTCAGGAGCTGTGAGGGACGACTGGGTCTGGGACACACAGCAATCTCTGTTTTTTTCTTTTCTTTTCTTTTTTTTTCTTTTTACCAGGTAGGGGGCTGTTGAGTAGAAGACAAGGGGTCACTGTGTAAGGATGGCTTTGAACTCATAGTGCTCCTCTTGCCTCAACCTCCTCAGTGCTGGAGTTACAGGTGTGCACCACCACACCTTGCCATCTGTACTCCTCTTCAAGCTTTTCTGGAAGTCTACAGTGACTCCAAAATAATGACACTATTGTAAAAGGGCCGCTGAGAAAATCTGTTGCAAACTTCTGAAGAGCCAGGCCTCACACCTTGAGGAAGGGTAGGAATCGCTAGACTGTCTTGAGTCCTGGTTGTGTTTGAGTCACCAAGTAGGTGGCCTTGGACAAGTTCCTCTTGGGTCACCCTTTTTCTCCTGTAACAGGGAGGCCATGATGCCTCCCTAATCAGGAGTCTGGGTGTGAGAGCCGCAGAGGCTCACAAAGTATGTGGCATGCAGCAGGCCTCGTAAGTGCAGGGTGCATGCTTCATCCCTCTGTCACAGTATGTCCCAGGATCTTCTCAGTGATGGATGTGCTATGCCCTCATCATGAGCCCCCTGGAAACCGTCAGGAGTCCGAGTTCATACACAAAAGCAAAGAGCCTTTTTGCAAGCTCAAGCTTGGGCTTCCGGTCTGTTCTGACACAGCGGTTGGATCAGGGAGATCCAACAGGCAGGGGTTTTAAGGAGTAAAGGATGGAGGCGCTAGGGGAATTCCAGATTCAGATGGGGTTTGAACTCCTGATTGGGCAGGAGTGAGGTAACAGAAGTTTTGTCAAACAGGGATTGGTACTGGCGTGGCTGCAAGGAAATTGGCAACATATATATGTCCTTTATGTTCTAGAGCCTTGAGTACTTGCTTGTCTCAATTCTGATTGGTCTCCATCAGGGTACAGTTTTTGGCTTTTCCTGCTTATTGTAATGGTGAGGCCCAGTCCCAGTACTGTTAGTCGGCAGCCTGTCATGGCTGCACTGATGTTAAGTTAGGCCTCTTCAGATGTGGTCCCAGGGGAGAAGTGTGTATCCCAGGAGTGTTGCTTCCCTGTGCCCAGCAACCCTTGTCTTGTCTTGCTTTTAGGTGATGACAGAAAGTAGCCACAGCAAGGGGTTTGGCTTTGTCTGCTTTTCCTCTCCAGAAGAGGCAACAAAGGCTGTGACGGAGATGAATGGGCGCATCGTGGGTACTAAGCCTCTGTATGTGGCCCTGGCACAGCGCAAGGAGGAGCGGAAGGCCATCTTGACCAACCAGTACAGGCAGTCCCTCTCTCGTCCGGTCTTGAGCTCCTTCCAGCAGCCCACCAGCTACTTACTGCCTGCTGTATCCCAGGTGGGCCTCCAGTTCCCACAGGGGGATGGAACTTCACAAGTACAGGTTCTGTTGAAAACACTTTGGGCAAGCTGATCCAGCCCCATGAAGCCTCACTCGCCCCATCTTTAAAGGGGCATAGCATGCTATCCTGCTTTCCAATCAGCATGAGATTCCTGAATATTGTGTGGAAGGGACTCTGTGGTTAAATGAGTTTGAGAGGTCTTACATTAAGTACCTAAAGTTGGCGGTGATGGTGCACGCCTTTAATCCCAGCATTCAGGGGGCAGAGGTAGGTGGATCTCTGTGAGTTCAAGACCAGCCTGGTCTACAGAGCAAGTTCCAAGACAGTCAAGGCTATACAGGGAAACCCCTGTCTCAAAACACACACACACACACACACACACACACACACACACACACACACACACACACACACACAGTATAGAAACATCAATTACTTTATTGTATACATTATCTTCTCCAGTTATGTCAGAATCCATTGGCTCTCTTAAACAGCCATAGTGCTTGTAGCATTTTCCCAGCTCAGATAGATGCTCATGCACCTTAGCATGACCAGGCTGTTCATGTTCTGAGGAGCATGGCTAGAGGAATGACATCATAGAACTGAGAGCAGGAGAGGGATGTGCATGTTGAAGACCACTGGCTTGGTAACATCCTTTAGCAACTGGTTGTGCTTGTACAAGCTGGAGTAAGTGACGGACTTTATCTGGTTACTGGGCTGGGGTAAGGAGCAATGGTTGAAATAAATCTGTGATCTTGCTCTGAGGGCTTTAGGGATAAGGGCATCCTGAGATGGAAGAAGAGAGCCTTCATATTAGCTTTGGAGGCCTGAGCTTTCCCCGTCAGGGGATAGTGCGGTTCTTGCAGTGGTGTCCTGAGAAGATGCAAAGCCTCTCTCACCTTGATCCTCTTCTCCCACAGTCCACAGCACAGGCTATATACTATGGTTCTGGCTCCATGACTCCAATGCAACCTGACCCCAGGTGGACAGCCCAGCCACACGGACCTTCGTGTAAGTGGTCCAGCCTTCTACCTTCAGCCAAGCTTGTGGGTGTGAGCCTCAAGAGAAGAGGCAGTGTATAGCTACAGGGCCAAGCCTGGCTTTGCGTTTCTCAGAGTCAGTTACTTCCCTCCTCTGAGCCTCAGTTACCCCTTCCCAACTGGGGACCAAATGAAGCGTTCATGAAGCGGCAGGCACCATGGCAACCCTGACGAAGACACACAGTGTGGCCCTTGTCAGTTATCTCCAGAGGCTACTCTGATTTGGGGCTGAAAATTCTTGTAGAACAGAGAAAATAATGAAACTCTTTTGGCTAAATTGTTGAAGAATGGCCTTCTGAGATCCAAGCTTCCACATGGACGAAAGTGAATGATCAGAATTTTAGGGCCTGGGGGGACATGAGCTGGTTTTGTCATGGCACATTTCTATACACCCTCCTCCAGAGTTCTTGGTCTAGGTAAACTGACTCTCCTTTCTTTGTTGTGAATTTCCAGTTCCTTGCCAGCCCTGGGAACTCCAGGCCACAGTGTGCTACTTTGATTATCACCCAAAACTTCTCTCTGTTTTTCTCTCTGCTCTAAGCCACCTGCCCTCCAGCTGCCTCAGTGGTCCAACCACTAAGCACGATGCAACACACATGTTTTCACCTCAGCAGTTCCAGTCAGGCCTCCAGTCACCTGCCTCACACGCAGAGAGTAGGTGAGTATCCGTGAACGAGGGCAAGATTCGGAATAGAAGGGTGTCAGCGGGTGAGGCAGTCTTACCGCTGGGGTTGGCAGTGGAGGGGAGCTTAGACCAGGCTCCATAGTGACCTTGCTTCCTTGGTGAGTCAGGCCAGCTTTGGAGGCTGGCTGTAACAGAAATGTTAGCTTGGCATCCAGCCCCTGGGAGTCACTTCGTGCCCCTTGCTGATTGCTATCTCTGCTGACTGAATCTTTAAAATAGTCTTTAGAAGCTTTAAAAATAGTAGGCCCATTTTGTGGTGAGGATTGGTGAGTTCACAAATGGGAGGGACTTGAATCTCAGCAATGATTGAGGCTGCTGTGCCTTGAGGACAAGCGTATCTGTTGGCCAATATCCTCACATCTCTGTGCTGGTCCTACATTCAGCACTGGGGGTCCTTTGGGGATTCTGCATGAATGATCCAGATGAAGTCCCTGGTCTTATATTGTTGCAGGCTTCAACATACATGCTCATTGTTACATTTTTCAACCTCAGTAAAATACACACAATGTAAAATTTACTGCTTTACTATTTTTGGTTTTTTGGTTTTTCAAGACAGGCTTTACTACTTTTTTAAAGATTTATTTGTACTTTATGTGCATAAGTGTTTACCTCCATGAACGTATGTGCACCATATGAGTGCAGTACCCAAAGAGGTCAGAAGAGAGTGCTGGATACCCTGGAACTAGAGTTACAGTCAGTTGTATGTTGCTATATGGGTGCTTGGAAGTGAACCCCAGTACTCTGCAAGAACAGTGAGCGTTTTACTACTTTTTATTTTTTTTATGTTCATGTTTTACCTGCATTCATGTCTGTGTGAGGATGTCAGAAGTCCTGGAACAGGAGTTACAGACAGGTGTGAACTGCCATGTGGATGCTGGGAATTGAACCCAGGTCCTCTGGAAGAGCAGGCAGTGCTCTTAACTGCTGAGCCATCTCTCCAGCTCCAAGCTTTACTGTTTTTAAGCCTACAGTTTAGCGGCATCCAGTACATTCGCACTAGTACATTCGCACTGTGGAGTAAGGACTGCAGAATTTTCCATCATCATCTTTAACACTTTTTGGCTTGTGAAACCATGCTTCCCACTAGCCACAGCTCTTCATTTTATCCTTTCTAGCCCCTGGAAAAACCACCATTCAATTTTTGGCTCTTTGAATTTTCAGTGGATCTTAGCCCAAAGGCTGAGAAGCCATTGTCTTTATGAACTGGAGTATGGTTACTTCGTGTAAGTGGAATCAGACCATCAGTCCTTTGTGACTAGCTTTCACTTAGCACAATGTCCTCAAGATTCAGTGATGTTCTAGCATGTTGCAGTTTCCTGCAGATGTAGATTTGGGTTACGCATTCACCTGTTGATGAACACACAGATGGCTCCACCTGGGAGCTCTTGTACACGAATACTGCTACTGTGAATACGGATTTGCAGATATTTCCCTGAGACCCTGCTTTCAATTCTTTTGAGTATATATCCAGAACTGAGATTGCTGGATGTGTTGACTCTTTAATTTTTTTGAGGAACCCTTATATTGAATTTCTATAGTTGCTGTATACCTGACATTCTTGTCTATAGTACACAAATGCCTCAATTTCTTTATTGCTCCACCAAAATTTGCTATTTTTTTCTGAGTGGCTCTTTAAAGCTTTCTTCTTCTTCTTCTTCTTATTCTTATTATTATTATTATTATTATTATTTTTTTTTTTTTCCACAGTCAACATTGGTACTCAGACTACAGGACCAGGAGGGGAGGGACGCTCTATTCTAGGCCAGCCTCTCCTGACACATAGAGGATCTTCAGCTGTACACAGTGCCCATGGGGTAAGGCTGTCTGCTCACTGTGGGCCCTGGGTATCCTGGCTCATAACTTTGGCTAGAGTGTTTTCCCTCTGGTCTTTGCTTTTCTTGGCTTATAAAATTTCATTTACTAATTATGTGCAATCAGTCAAAGATCATTCCTACTAGCAGAGAGGAAAAAGAACCATGGTCATATTTTATTTACTGGTTATAAACTTTTTGTCTAGGTTATTATCAAAATGAATTTGAACTTCCTGTGAGTATCAGGAGAAGGAATTCTAAGAACATACTGAGTACTGAAGGAATAAGATTAAGCTTCAAAACAGGACTAAAAATGTTTATTATAATTAAACAAAAGGCTATGTATCTCCTTACTCCCCCTACCAAAGGTTTCAAATTCAACATTGTTGAAACATGTCTAGAATTTTAACATGTCTTGTTTGAATGCTTTCTTGCAAAATGAAAAACAGTCTTTAAATAACAATAGTACTTCCAAAGTTAGCAAGATGTAAGAGGGCTGAAGGAAGAGGCAAGAATTCTAGGCCAGCCTAGGTTACCTAGGCTATCCTGGACTATATAGATCTTAACACACACGAACATATACACCATGGAGATGTGTGTGTACTGCTCATGTGTTCGTAAAGCTTGCCAAGAAAAATGCTTTATTGGGTGCAAAGTGATTAATGAAGTGTGGCTTTCATGTGACAGTGTTTTTGAAGGGCCTTCATTGGGTCACAACATCTCCGTTTGAGGATAACTTTGTCTTCTAGTCCATGCCCTTGTTAGGAATTCTCTGTCCCACCTGACTGTGCAGACATTGCTTCCCTCTACCAGAACCTTTCCTGGAGGTTTATGTTCACCTGATGGGGTAAGTGTGTGAGGTCTTTCCCATCCGTGTGGTTAAGGAATGTGTTCCTGGCACCATGCGCAGGTCCAGGAGTCAGCTGTGTATGTCCCTGGCCATCAACCTCTGACTGTGTCCATGCTGGCTGCCGCGCCCCTGCATGAGCAGAAACAAATGATTGGTGAGTGGCTGACTCTCCTACACTGGGGCAGGCAGGCAGGAGGGCTGAGAGCTGCCTAGCCTGCCAGGAACAGCTCCAGTGAGGACAGACTTGGGAACTTTTTCCAGCTTGGTATCTGACTCTGACTTTAGGTGGGAGATACCTGGATGTGAGATCAGGGCCAAGAAGCAGAGTAGAATGCCCTTGGGTTTCTACTGGGAAATGGTCCAGGGTGGTCATTACATGTCTTCACACCTCTTCCAGGGGAAGCCCTGGTCAAATTTCATCTGTCTCCTGGTGCCCTCTGCAGAAGGTGGGAAATAACTGTGTGCTGGGGAAACACAGGTGGTTCCCTCTGGACTCTGAGCTCCAAGTGCAGTTCCTCTCCAGCCCTAGAGTTTCTGACAGGCTCCAAGAAAAGATGGCACTAAGCCGGGCGGTGGTGGCATACGCCTTTGATCCCAGCACTCGGGAGGCAGGGGCAGGTGGATCTCTGTGAGTTTGAGGCCAGCCTGGGCTACCAAGTGAGTTCCAGAAAAGGTGCAAAGCTACACAGAGAAACCCTGTCTTGAAAAAACCAAAAAAAAAAAAAAAAAAAAAAAAAATGGCACTAGTAGGCACTGGGGAGATGGTTCAGTAGGTAAGAGTGCTTCCTGTGTAATTCAAACTTGAGTTTGAATCCCCAGCACCCATATAAAAAGCTGGTCCTGGCTATGTGTGCCTGTAACTCCAGGCACACATAGTTGGGGGATGGAGAAGGGAAGATGGTAGGAAATTATTGGCCAACCCGCCTAGCTGAAAAGGCAGCTTCAGGGTCAGTAAGAGACACTGTCTCCTCGGAATAAGGTGGATAGTGATAGAGCAGGACACCTGATATCCTCCTCTGGCCTCCATGTGCATACATCACTGTGCACGTGCGTGTGCTCGTGTGCACACACACACACGCACACACACACGCACACACGTGTACATGAATGTGATGTTACTAATATTGGAATGAAGGAGCAGCTTGTTTCTGGTCAGCACACTCTTCACTTCCTGACCATGCAGACCGGGGGCCCCTTCACTGAAGGCCATTGCCACTGCTCCATCCTTTCCCTAGCTTACTCGCCAGGTTCTGTCACTTCATGCCCCTCCCTAACACACAAGAAAATTACATATGCCTGATGTAGGCTCAACTGACATGTCTGTCAACATGTCCCTTCTTTATGGGAAGGCCTTTCTGCTCCCACTTAAGCACCCCCATCCTGGAGTGTTCCTCCATGCGTTGTCAAGATGGGCGGACCCCAAAACTAGGTTGTACTGCCGGAAGTACCTGGTGGTGGAAGGTAAACTTACACTGTTTGCTTCCCACACTCAAAGTCTCAAGTTGAGCATTACCTCCTGTTTGGAATCCCAGTGTGTCCTCTGAGAACCACTTCTCACAAAAGGAACAAATGGAGTCTTGAAACTCAGCTGACCTTGCTGCAGATCTCTTTACAAATAACAACTTGGCCCTTCAGATTGTCCTCCAAGGCAGGTTTGCTATGCTTTATAGAGGTGGACAGAGAAGTTTCCAGTAGGGTTAAATGACATAGCTCGGGGTGACAGGTTCTAGGACAAGATCCCAGACACCCTCCTTGCTCCACTCCAGGATGCCACCGCTCCTGGGCGCTGGGCTGTGAGGCAGGTGTGTGCCGTGATGCCACCGCTCCTGGGCGCTGGGCTGTGAGGCAGGTGTGTGCCGTGATGCCACCGCTCCTGGGCGCTGGGCTGTGAGGCAGGTGTGTGCCGTGATGCCACCACAAGGTTGTTCTACACAGGGGAGCGTCTCTACTCCCTCATCCACGACACCTGCGCCCCACTGACTGCCAAGATCACAGGCATGCTGCTGGAGATGGACAACCTGGAGCTTCTGTTTTTGCTGGAGTCCCCAGAGTCCCTCCATGCCAAGGCAGGTGGAGACTGGGAGGCAGCCCAGCAAAGAGCGAGGGCTGGCCTAGACAGGTTGTGGCAGCTGACATCAATCTGCTGCGTCTTAGTGGAGGGTTCACGACTTCAGTCCCTCCACAGACAAGCGCTGTGTAGCTCTCTAGTGAAGCTCCAGCACAAGCAGCTGTGTTCTGACTGGACAGTCATGTCCAGCACTGGTACCTCTATTTGAGAAGGTGGCAGTGGGGCTGGGATCTTGGGAGCGGCCGAGGATGAGGGCCCCTCATGAGTCCACGAGGCAAGTGAAGTCATGGCTCTTGTGAGGCCCCGTGGGGCAGCTGCATTAAGCCCCTCTCTCTTGTGTCCCGTAGATCGAAGAGGCGCTGGCTGTGTTGCGGGTGCACCAGGAAATGGAGTCTGTGGAAGGCAACAGGACCTGAAAACAGTGGGTGGCTGGGGGTGGGAGGACCCACGACAGAACAGCTGAGCTGTTCTCAGAAGACCCTGGAGAGATCCCAGCGGAGGCTGACATTTAAGAACTCACTGTGATGTGCTGGTGGCTTTGTCTGAAGCACGAAGGAGTTTGGTGAGGCTGAATGAGTCATAGGAGACACACAGAGAGGCTGGAGTGTTCCCATGTCAGCGGCCCTGCCAGGCCTCAGGGTTTACTGCCTGGCTCCACTCTGCTCATCTGAAGGCCTGGTCTGCTGTGAGTCAGTCCATCTTCTTAAGACGGGGTGTCCTACATACTTTAGGAACATTTTTTCCCCTTCCCCCACTGAAAATGGAACCCTCCCTCCCTCGAGTACAGCATTTCTGCTTTTGGTTCTAAGGTCCTGTGAACTCTAACTTATTTCCTGATCGGCCTCTCTGTTCTTGAGCTATAGATGTGTAATGAAGGCTGGACACACAGTCCATTGCTAATCTTTTTCCTTTGTATATTAAAATACGCTGCAAAAAATGTCTTGCCTCCCAGGTGACTTTCTTGCGCCTGGGGGAGGGGGAGGGCGAGAAAAAGATTTTACTGGACTGGAACTTTGGCTCTAAGAATAGGAGAACCCCAAACAAGTGCTGAAACACACAGAAGGTGCATATTACAACAGGAGACCCATGGGAGCTGAGCTTAGCTCCAAACTACAAACTGGCCATCAACAGCAGATGGTTACATGGGTACCACCACGCAATGGACTCAAGCACCAGGCAGCCCCATCTGAAAAATGTTGCATTTCTGCAGGCCAGGTAAATACCACAGAAGGAAGCCGACAATTGTATGTAGGTCCCAGCTGACCAAATGCTGTGTAATGCAATTAGGAATTCTGTAGATATATACTAGATTACCTTCCTTGGTAAACAGGGAGCTCCCAGAGTTCTTCAGCGAAGTGAGTGTTCCCCTTAAGGGGTACCGACCTCAGCTCCCTCCCCATACCCATGTGACCAAAGAACAGTGGTGAAGATACACCTGCATATTGGTGCTGTCACAAGTTCAAACAAATACAACAGGGTCCTGCTAGTCTGCCTCACACTGTTTTTGCCCCACAAATGCTTTTGTAAACTCACACCCCCAACCTACAATCCACTGCTCTCCAAGTAGCTTCTCCCCATTCTCTTCAGATGCTCAGTGTTGGCATTTTTTCAGGCCTGACCCCCATTCCTCTCTCCGCGTTCTCCGTATCTAGTTTACAACTCCATTTTCAATCATACTTGAGGACTCGGGTTTCTGTTTTCTGTAGCCCCACCCACTGTGGGAGCCCCTGGACCAGACCTTACACCCTACTTACCCTTAGTTCTTAGACTGTCCCAACGAAAGCCGAGTTCATGGCTTAGAGCTCCCCAGTCCCTCTGGCTTCATCTTCAGGCGTTCTCAGGGAGTCTCCCACCCTCACTCTGTTCTAAAACCGAGGTCTCCCCACTCTGTCACTTCCCTCTCCTTCCTCTCGTCTTCCATATGCAACCTATCAATCTCACCCCCTATCCTTCATTTCTTTCCACTCTGCATATCCTCCACTGTCATCCTGAGCTCAGCTGGACTCTGGCAGCAGCCCCTCTGTGGCTTCACTGTATTGGTGGTGCTTTCCTTCAAGCGATTAGAAGGTTGCCTTCAGAACGGAAATCTGATGTCTCATTTTTTTATTCAAGTCTACATCATTCTGTTTCACCAAGGTGAAAACAATGTCACTTGCAGCCTCGTCTCACGTTGAGGACTTCGCAAATGTGAATGGTATTTCACTAGTCCTCCCTTAGTGAGTGCTCCCACCAGGGAGCACGTGTTCTGCTTGTCCAACTTCCCACCTATTAATATTACCTTTAGAATAGTTTCCCATTGTCAGTCTATATTTATCATACAAAATGTTTCATCACATTTGTTATGTACAGTATGCACTTTGCTGATTTACCACCCTCATTATGCTCTCCTGTCCCAGGCCCTTCACACACACACATACACTTATTGATAGATCTAGATTCCATATATAAGAAAACATGCTGGGCGGTGGTGGCGCACACCTTTAATCCCAGCACTCGGAAGGCAGAGCCAGGCAGATCTGAGTTCGAGGCCAGCCTGGCAGAGTGAGATCCAGGACAGGCTCTAAAATTTATACAGAGAAACCTTGTATCGAAAAGACAAAACAAAAAACCATGAGTCTAGTTTAATTGCTTAACATGATCTCCAGCTCCATCCATTTTCCTGCAAAAAAAAATTTTTTTTTTCATTCTTTATGGCTGAGTAAAACTCTACTGTATAGGCCAGAGATGGTCCACCAGGTGATGTCACTGCCACAGAAACCTGGTGAGCTGTTTGACACCTGGACTCATGTAAAGGTAGGAGAAACAATTTCACAGTTGTTCTCTGATGTCCACGTGTACTGTGGCGCACACATGCTAAGACACCCGCTCACTGTGTATGTGTACAGTTCATCCATTCATCCGTTGATGGTGGTTTATGCTGATTCATTGAATCATGGCTTTTGTGAACGCTGCCACAACACACATGGATGTACAGGTGTCTCTAAGGAGTGGTGATTGCTAGGTGTTTTTTCTTTTGAGACAGGTTCTGTGTAACCCCAGAACTCACTGTGGGTACTTTTTGAGGAACCTCTATACTTATTTCCACAATGGGCAGCTTCTCCCTTTACTTTTTGTGGTGCAGGGTCTTGAACCCAGGGCCTCGTGCATGCTAGGCAAATGCTCTACCACTGGGCTACATCCCCTGCTCTTAGCTTTTTCTTCTGAACTTAGTTCATGCTCTACTTACCAGTAGACCTTTACCTTTCCACTGTGCAAACCTCTTCATGGAGGCAGGCAAGGCAGCTGACTGCTGGATAGCTCCTCCATGCTGATGAAGGCAGGTACAGCTTTATACTTACCTGATTAACTCCTTGTCTTCTCACAAGGCCACTCCTCTGAGAGCAGGGACAGATCTAGTTATCCTGTTTCCTTCGGACTATATGCAATGCCTGGGCTGTTCTGAAATTTTTCTCAATGAACAAATGAATGTCCAAAAACCAGTAGCTGTTTGTTCTTTTTCAAAGATCATTCTCTTATCTTATTCAGGAAATAATCATAAGTGAAAATATTTTAAAATGAACATTTCTTTAACAGGGTTGAAGTTCAGTAATAGGAGAGGTATGTTTAAGCTCTAGCTAGGTTTTATTTTCTGTTCTGTGCTATATTCAACATAGCACAACAATTGTTATCACTACCGAGTTTCAGATGCAAGGCTGAGAAGACACATGAGAAAGCCGGTTGTACAGAAGAAAACCTTTTAATGCAACAGCAACACACAGTTCAGTAAAATCAGTTCAATTAACTTCAACATATTAACAAAAACAACAGAAAACAACGAAGAAGCCTGAGGGGCTGCTGTCGGGGAAAGGTCAGTTCCTGCTCAGACTGGAGGGACACTAATCTCAAGGAGGCCTCTCTCCCCATCCCAGGAGGAATTCGGGCTCTTTGAACAGCGTAGGTAGCTTCATACAGAAGGCAGCAGCACAGAGCCTCCAAGGGTCAGGCTCTGCCTTCCCACAAAGGGCCTGGACTAAAGGCACTGGGGGCTCAACACAGGACACTGTGCCAAGGACAGGGTGCAGACAGCAGCTGTACCCTTGGGGAGATGGCAGCCTTGGAGAACCAGCTCAACAGGCTGCTCTGGGTGTAGGTAAGCCAGCATTTTAGCCTGTCAACACTACCCTCCCAGCTCAGACTAACTGCAGACGCGTGCGGGTGTCTGGGGACACCACAAGGGCATCCATCAGTCTGCGGCATATCTGGGGCATGACAATTGCCAAGGACTTTGTTGATGAGGACCAGGCTGAAGCAAGGGGATGAGGCTGGGGCTGGACCTTCACACTTTAGCTCCAGTGGAGACCTTTCTGGAAATAACAACTGTCCTGTGCTTGTCTGTAATGGACGTAATTGGAACAAGCGAAGCTTCTCAGGTGAAGGCTGCTACCTCTCCAAGGGGCCAAAGTGGGGTTGCTTTTGCACTCCCGTAGGGGCATGCTGGGTATTGGGGGCAGATGCAGGGGAGGCCCCTAGCTTCCTTCTCTGGGAAGGTCGGGTAGAGGGTTCCTGTTGCCCTCTTGGGGTTCTAGTTCATGTTCTGGTTGACTTCCTGCCGTAACTTCTGTGCAGGGCCGTTCCTGGGTTCGATTTGTAGGAGGCTGCTAATATCTGCAAGGCTGGATTTATAGTCCTATGAAAGAGAAAAGAAGAGTTGGGGAAGGGAGGAGGTGAGACCCACTGGAGTGGGAAAGCTGCTGAGGCAGGAGATGTTTTCAAACCCCAGACCAGAGCTGTCGCAGGGCTTGGAAGGACACAGTAAGCACTGCTTCGCTTGATACCACAGGAGCCAGCACTGGCATGAATCTGACTACAGTTGAGTTTCTGAGCAGGGATCCTTTACCTTGAGTGCCTTGTAGGCTTGAGCCCGTCTGTAAAACGCTTTCACATTCTTTCCATCCAGCTTGAGGGCTTCTGTGCAGTCCTTTACTGCCTCCTTGTACTGTTTCAGGACCAGATGGCAGAGCGCTCTGATGTGGAGAGACCATTGCACAAGTTCAGTCACTTGTGGGTCCCTCAAGCAAGACGGAGGCAGTCGGGATGACCCGATTTGCTGAGCACCCATTCTGTGCTGCTGTTTCTACCTCAATCCTCTAAAGTCTAGCCTCACCTCCCAAGATTTAGGTTTATGTGTGTATGTTACTGTCACATGTGTGCTGGAGCCCATGGAGGCCAGAAAAAGGTGTTAGATCCTCTGGAACTAGAGTTACAGGTGGCTGTGAGCTGCCATAAGGGTGCTGAGAACTGAAACTGGGTCCCCTGGAAGAGCACCCAGTGCTCTTTAACTGCTGGCCATTTCTCCAGTTCCCTAGCCTTTTTTGAAGATGCAAAGGCTATAAGAAGCTTCATAACTGGCTCAGGAGTCAAGGGACTTGCCCAAGGCCTACTACCAGTGAGAGGCAGAGCTGGAGTTCAAACCGGTGGGTCTGCAGGAACCCAGAGCCTGACCTTGCATACTTCTGTCATTCACCACTCTGCATCAGGTTCTTTAAGCAAAGTTCTCCAAACATTTTCCTCAACAGATGAAAAACTTACCCATTTTAAGAATAAATGCATGAATATTAAATACTAATGAACATGCTTGCTGACGTTTCAGGGGTAGAGTGTAAAGATGTAAGCAATTACACTGTAACAATCAACAATAACATGGATTGGGCTAGGGATGGAGTCCAGAGCTCAGCACTGGATAGAGCCCCCAGCACTGTGTATCTACTGGACAGCTTAGATGTTGAGTATATGGTGTTCAAGGTACTTGCATGTTTCCAACTTCCCATACTTTGAAATGTCTCATAATAAAAGGTGGAAAATACCCACTGTGATTTTCATCATCCAAGTCTGGTCCTTTTCTTCAAAGATAGTCACTAGAAGGAAGCCTGTCAACTTG